AAATGATGTACAAATGCGCTTTACACAATTGATGTGTGTATGGATTGGGATAACAGTTGTATGAGCCCCTAATAAAATGATTTTTAAAAAAGATATCAAAAGACATAAAAAGAAAAAAAAAGAAAACCCTCTGGAACACAGTTCTACAGGCCGTCACAGGTGGGAGTTGACTGATTATACTTCTGAGACTGTGCCTGCTGCTGAAGATATAGAAAGAGGAATGAGCAATATTTTGTGTTATAATTGAGCAAGGGTGGAGAAAGAAGGGGACATGCTGGGCATCTCTTCAATCCCAAACTGCTTCAATCCAACATCTGCCCTTCCTAAAAGTTCACTAATGTCTCCAGGAGACAAACCCGATCCAATGGGAAATGTTTAGTCCTCATCTTAGTTCTAAGGCTACACCAGCCACCATCTCATAGGTGCTGCTCACTCGCCACTCCCTTTTAAATGTCGATGCTTCTCAGCATCGTATACCCAGCCTTCATTTTTCTCCATAAACACACCTTGTTTTCATCTACACCCACAGCGCCCAGCTTCCACCTACATAAGCTAGACTCCCAAATCCTAAAAGGCCGGATATGGTCTGTTTTTCTCTCCAGGCTCATTTCCCATCTTCTTAGCAAACCACTTGTTATCTCTGGGATGACACCAGGGTCTCGTCTATATTGCATGTCCCTCTGCCTGGCACCCCCAGTTTGTCTTTAAAGATTCAGTGTCAATGTTCTCCCTTCTGAAAAGCATACCCCAACACCCCAAGGCATGTTGCAATGGTCGGTGGGCTTGTTTATTCCTCCGGATTGCCTTTGCAGCTGCCAACTTAATAAATATTTGTGAAAGTGACGGATAGCAGAAATTCCTGAGCTCTGACCACTTCAGCACTGAAGGAACGGCGCTTGCGGGTAGTGACTGGAGTGGGTGTGAGCCACTTGAGTATTTTGTAGAGGCAGCCAGGATTGGCAAGGCTGTAGGCGGGTGGGAACAGCAAAGGTGGTGGCTGGGCAGGGTCAGAAAGTGGTTATATACATGGGAAATGAGCAATTCTGTTTGAAGATAAAGGAAGCCAGCTCTCACATTCTTAGGAGAATGGAGTTACAAGTGGGGATAGGGCGAAGGCTGGAATGAACTCTGTGATGTTGAGCCAGAAACAAAGACACTCGCGTAAACACACATTGATTTTCATGTCCTTATGGAAAGAGATCTGTGTATATACACCTCTCCAATTGCATGGTATATATTTTCCCCATGTTCTGAGAAAGTCTGTAAACAACGATGTGTCTGTACCAATGATCACACCTAGTCCTCCTATTTTGGTTTGTAAGTACCACTCTCCATTAAGAGGAATCAAAGCTCGGTGGAGAAATGGATAATCCCAGGGCCGGGGCAAGGAAAGTATAAGCATGGGACATCTTTTGCCAAAAGTTTAAAATTGCTTCCAAAACTATAGGGATTTGTCAAAAGGATACAGAACCCAGCTCAATGGAGTTCCCATTGTCCTAATCTGGGGCAGTTTGAATATCAAAATAATCCTGACCATGGATTAAACCCACTAACAGAGGACTCTGAGCCCAGACAGACACAAAGAAATATATGACCAAAAAAAGGGTGAAAACAAAGTTCTTCCATCCAGTAAACATGGAAGGATGTAATTGAAAGCAATTTGCTAGGCCTTTCCTATTAGTTACACTAACCACAAGGACGTCAGTTCAAAACCACCTTGGGAGAAAGATGAGGCTCTCTACTCCCACAGAGTTACACTTTTGGAATCCCACACTGGTCGTTATGAGTTGGAATTGACTTGATGGCAGTGAGTTTGTGTTTTGTGTTGGTTCCTTCGAAGAGTGGTTAGGTGTTTGAAGAGTTAAGCTATAGACCAATTGGAAACCATGTGTGCCCATTTAAATCAAGAAATTTAACTTTGCTACAAATCTGCCAACTCATCTGTAGACCCCATTCAGACTAGAGCAGTTCTCTCTGTACCTCATGAACTCGCCATGAACAGAATCACCAGCAAGAGCGGTTGGTTTGAATATGATGGTTGCTGTGTGGTGATGTCGAGTCACTCCATCTCAGAGGGACCCTATGTGCAACAGACCAAAACACCACCTGGTCCCCCACCAGCCTCCCAATTGTCCTCATGTTTGAGACCATAGTTGCAACCACTGTGCCATTCCATCTTGTTAAGGGCATTGCTCTTTTTTGTCGCCATTCTACTTTACCAAGTATCATGTCGTTCTCTAGGGACTGGTCTCTCCTGATAACCTATCATGAGGTAAGAATATCCTTGTCTTTAGAAAGTTTACACGAAAGCAGCGGTTCTCCACCTTCCTGATGCCGCGAGCCTTTCCCACAGTTCCTCATGTGGTGGGGACCCCCCAACCATCACATTATGTCCGCTGCTACTTCATTACTGCCATTGTGCTACTGTTACGAATTGGACGACCCCTGTGAAAGGGTCGCTCGACCCCCAAAGGGGTCACGACCCACAGGTTGAGAACCGTTGCACTAAAGTCTATAGGGGTGATGGGGCAACCTCTCTGAAACTTAGTCGTATGGTTTTGGCAGGGGGAAATGTGTGCAAAGACCAAGCTCGAGGGAGAGAGAAACAGAAATGCTGAACTATTAAAAGTTGGATAAACCAGTTAAAGGATATACAGCAGTTCTTTGTGCTATTCTTGCCACTTCTAAGGATGAAATTATGACAATATTGAAAGATTCTTCAAATAAAATGGTGAATATTATTCTTTTTAGGATGGAAAATGAGTCCTGTATCAAAGACCTTTGTGTTCTGACTGGTACTTCATCACCTTGTTCTAAGAGCACTTTATTGCGGAGCAAAAAGCCAAACACTCATGAAAATGCTCACGCCATTGCGTCAATTCCTGCTTTAGAGCAACCCTCGAGGATAAGGGAGAACCGCCCCTGCGGATTGCTGAGACTGTCACTCTTTATGGGAGTAGACAGCCTCCTCTTTCTTCCGCGGAGCTCCTGGTATATTTTAACCACTGACCTGGTGGTTAGCAGCTCAGTGTGTAGCTCACTACACACACACACACACACACACACACATATGCTCATATGATGCATATATATAAAAAGATAAGTTGAAATTAAATATCGATATATCTTAAGTGTGTCTGTGCATATAGATAGATATATCTCCAGTGTGTGTGTGTGTGTGCTTGTGTGTGTGTGTGTATAGATAGAGAGATAGATAGATAGATAGATATCACAAAAAGACAAGTTTCAGTCAAGTAAGAAATAGATGTGGGCTTGACTATAATCTTATAAATCATCAGCGTCTGCTTAATGCTCTTGAAAATCTGACCAATGCTATGGAAACAGCCACAAAATGTGTATGTCCATTCATTCTTTGGTAATCCTGACAATCTTGTATTCGTGACTTGACCTGTAATTCAACACAGAGAATTAAAAAGTTGGGCGACAGAAGCAGAAAACATGAGCACAAAGAGAAGAGTGGCTTTTAAAAGACTTTACAAACTCCTATGCGTACGAACACACTTTATTAAATTTCAGTCTAAGATATACACAGGTCAGCATTTCACAAAACATCCTATTATTATTTTTATTATCCCAAAAGCAGTTACCATGAGATGCGAGGGTGTTAAATAAGGCAGTCAAGCAAAAAATACTTATCTACAGGATTTAAACGTATCAGCTCTTGTACTTGTTTTCAAATAGAAGCTGGAAACACGTAGTACAAACGTAGAATAGGAAAGAAGAATTCAACTTTACAACAACGGCCACTTTTCAAATATTGGACTTTTTATAAAAATAAAGGGGTGCTGTCAGCGGGGCTCATCTGCACAAATGGAACCTGCTCATCAATTTAAACAATCCAAATGAACCGTGGTTTGAACAGTGAAGTCAATCCATTTCCTTCCTAGTTCTCACTGCCCCATCCCCAAGAGTCGCGTTTTCCTGCCCCAATTTGATCCCACCATTGAATGACAACTGCAAAAAGAATGTCAATGATCGTGACATTTCACAGGTCATTAAGAGGCCTGCAGTAGAGGCCCCAAAAGGATGGCCCAAAGGGTCCGTTCGAGGCAAAGGAGACAGTAGAGTGAAGGCAGGGACACAGCCGCCCAGAAGACACCATCTCTGCTTCTCGGCAGAAAACAGCTGACCACGGTTCTTAAATAGAATACCCAGAATGCCATCCAAGTACATGTTCGTGAATATGGCACACAGGAGACAAGTTTCATAATGCTGTCTACACATTTTGATTGGCTTTAAAGGACAGGTCAAAGCAAACCAAGAAAGATAGCCATTCACGGCCACTATGGCGGTTACTGCCACTTGGCAAACAAAACCAACCACCAACACACATGATGCTATAAGGGAACGCCCAAAGGCCAAGCGAGCCTCTCTGCTAACTAAAGAGACTATGTCTCCCTTCAGGCCATACGACGTTACCAGGCCCAGTTCCATGAGCTTTGCCTTCAAAAGACACAAATGCAGTGGCTGTTGTTTCTTACAGTCATTAAAGAATAGATGATGAGCCTAGCCCAAGACAGATTGTACAGCGATGATGGCTGACCACATGGGAAAAACAAATCCATTGCCACAGATATTTTTATACAGTGATCAGACAATAATTAGCAGTGAGGTACAGTCCAGGTTTTGAAATCGCTCAGTCATGTTTTTGCTTTCTTTAAGACTTCAATAACTGATGCTGCCTCAAGCTTCCTGTTCTGTACACCATTCAGACTTCAAACCCAAGCCCCCTACCTGCTGCTATCCAGTTGATCCGGGCTCATGGCCACCCTGCAGGGCGGAGTAGAACTGTCCCACCGGGGTCCCCAGGCTGTACACCTCTCAAAGAAAGCCGACAGCCATGACTTTCTCCCCTGGAGCATCTGGGGAGCGCCCAACCGCCGACCTGTTGGTTGGCAGCTGGGTTGCTGGAAAAGCTATGCTCCCCAGGGCTCCTTGTTGGATCGCTCAAATCACTTGTTAAAAGGTGACTGCGTAAAACATTGAATCGTTCAGGTCTTCAGAGAGTCCTGCAAGATCCCACACTGCCCTGTCAGGCTGTGTGAGCAAGGACTAGTTTCCCATTCGGGTGGCAGAGCCTCACTGAGCAGCGCAGGATGAACCCAACAGAGCCAAGGACTAAGGTAATCGAAACAGCAGCAAGAAAAACGGGAATGTGGCAGCTACACACAGAAAGCCCCCCTCTCCCCCGACCTTATGCGACACACCCCTTACAGCATAACCGGGCACCCCAAGGCACCTAGCGCCTCAGGACACCATCTGAGACACACGCCAGCTCCGTGTAGGCCGTTCTACACGGTGGTCTGTGTGCCAATAACATTATTCGTTCATTTGGAGGTGCTCCACACATCTGGTCAAGGCAGGGATTTCTTCTCCTTGATAACACCACCTAGAAATATCAACAATATTTATATATTCCTTAGGGCAAGATGTTGGGGTGAGGGGGAAAACAACAGCAATGAGGGTAGCTAAGTCACAGCAGCTCCATCAACTCAAGCAGGCAGCCTGCATGTCCCGAGACAGACATCCTCAACGCTAACATCAGACATTCCCAACAGCGCAGAAGCAGCGTGAACAGTAACAGAAGCAACTGTGCGTTTCTTCCATTCTGTGGGAAACAGCAAATGAGCAAGCAGCTCAAACGGGAAAGGGAAACAAAACGATGTATTTGAAGCTGATGCAGAAACAGAGAGCAAAACTAAACAAAAATCAAGACAAACAGAAAAATCAAACCCCCCAAATCTACTAGCATCCAGCGCGAGTCTTCTTTTATTGTGAAATAGAAAGATTTGAAAGCATGTTGTCAACAGAGGACAAACACATACATCTCTCAAGCAAGAGAATTTCTGATCAACTCTATCTGTCATCACATTGTTGAGAGAAAAGACTCATAATCGAAATTACATGTCAGTATTTATTTCTCCTTAAACTTATAGACTCTAAAAATAGGGCCCGTGAGGCTCCGAGAAGGAAAAAATTAGAGAGATAGAATCCAAGCAATCAAAATGAACACGGGAGATTTAAGTCACTAAACCCAAAAGGAGATCAGCGGAAACAGGCATTAGAAGGGCAATACACTTGCAAAATTGGATTTTAGAGAAGAAAGAGATGCCCAGAAATTGTGGCATCCGGCCGAGTGGTTTTAAAGCTGTAAAACTTTAATCCTCATTTCGGATCAAAGTTCTCTGCATTCCTTACTAAATGCTTTCTATAGGAAATAGCAGTTAAAGCGCTGACTCAGAAATGGGTAAGTCACTTGGGTGAGAGATTATCCACCGAGATGAACGCGGAGCGTGGATTGGCGCATGCTACTGGAGACTCTGCGGGAGTGCTGCCTTTAGCCAGGGAGTGTGAGGACAAGCCACTGCTGCTACTACTGCCATCCAAAACATTTGAACTGAGGACAAAGCAAAAAGAATTATAAGCAAATGCATCTATCAGGGTAATCATTACATGCAATGACACAGTTTCGAGAACTCATAAAATCAATAGGGCATTTGTAAATAATAAAAAACCATCCAAGCAACAGCAATGAACTATACAATGAGCTGCATTTAGATAGACAACTGCGAAATGATTTTTTAAAAAAACCCAAAAACCAACATCAGGGATATTTAAAATAAGACTTTCTGTAAGAGTCGCGTGCCATCCAGGAGGTGCCTGAATGGCCCAGTACCATTCCTTGCTGTTCTGGACACACCCTGGAGCTCAAGAGATTTCTAACTTTTGGGTTTCTTGCTTCTTACCTTCTTGCCAAACTTCGAGTCTTGGAACGGCTACTTCTTGGGGTACCTCAGACTGTCGTCGGAAGTAGTCTGTAGTAATGCTTCAGACTCCCCACACTTGACACCAGTCATTCAACTGACCTAGATTTTGCCACGTCCCAACTACCAAAAGGCTTTTTTTGGGTCCCCCTCGAAATTACATGAATTTCTTTGAGCTCTCCTTTTCTTGACCCTTCAGATCCCAAAGGCCCCTCCTCTCTCTCTCTCTCTCTCTGAAAGTTTCCCTTCTTTGATTTCTACAGCTACTATCCAGTTAAACTTCTAAACTCGCTGCCATCAATGCTGACTCATAGTGACCCCCCTGTGGGTTTCTGAGACTGTAGCGGTTTACGGGAGTACAAACCCCAATCTTTCTCCCTCGATGCTGCTGGTGGTTTTGTACTGCTTACGATGTGATCAGAGCCCAAGGAGTAACCACTACACCACCAGGGCTACCACAATCCCCATGCCTCATCTTCCACAGCCTTTGTAATGCTGGCAAGTACCAGCAGCTTCTGCTTCTATTCTTCCACTAACACTTTTTAAGATCACTTTACTGGGGGCTCTTTCAGCTCTTACAGCAATCCATACATCAATTGCATCAAGCATATTTGTACATATGCTGGCATCACTATTTTCTAAACATTTACTTTCTGTTTGAGCCCTTGGTATCAGCTCCTCTTTTTTTTCCTCTCTCCCTCCCCTCCCTTGTGAGCACTAAAACTCTTGATCTGGGCTGCAAGATACACACACACACACACACACACACACACACACACACACACACACTCATAGGAGCTTCAAAAAGTCGAGGGGAAAACTCCATTCTCATTTCATTTAAAATTCCCATGAACTTTTGAAACCCTCTCCTCCCTTGTGTATCCCAGCCCCGGGATAACTTAGCTCCCAGCAATCAATCAGGCCTCCCTCAACACCTGGCTTCATGATTTAGCATCAAGCTGCTGTGACTCTTACTAAGCAATCTATAACCTGCCTATAATCTTTAAACTTTGTTCAACATTTTGCATTGATTCGCTTTTTCTAATATTTATTGTGTCTGCTAAGTGCAGAAACCCTGCTAGACATTACACATTGCCCTCACTACATTACCAGTGCATAACAAAAGGCAGGCATTTAGGGCATCATCATGCTAATAAATACATTACAAAGTTAAATGGGGCTAATGAGAGGGTGTCACATGGACGAACAGGGACAGAAATCCTTCTTTGAGCCCCATGCTGAAGATGCGCAGGCATTAATGAACTCAGCAAGGTGCAGGAGGAAGTAAAGAGAGCTCTAGGCACCGCAAGCAGGCAAGTGTGGCTGGAGTACAGAGGGCAGGGGGAGGGGGAAGGGGAGAAGGAGAGAAAGAGAAAGAAGTTTTAGGATTGGTACAGGTAAGTTTGTTCTTTTTGGAAAAGCACACACACAGAAGTAGAGAAGGCATTATGAGTAAGGAAAGAGGGCTTCCAATTCCAGTTTGAGGAACTCTGGAGGCATAGTGGTTACGTGTTGGGCTGTGAGATCAGGAGTTCGGAATCATCGGCCACTCTGAGGGAGAAAGGCAATGCTTTCTCCTCCTGCAAAGAGTGACAGTCTCAAAAGTCCATAGCGCAGTTGTCCTCTATTCTGTGCGGTCACTATGGGTCAGAATCACCTTGGTGGCAAGGACTCTTTGGATTTCCAGTCTGGTCTCATTAGCTCCTTTACTGAAGCCCATCCTGGTCTAACATGCTTGAGTTCACCATCTTGAATGTTGCCATTTTTATGAATTCCCAAGTGAGTTTATTTCCAGTCTCAAGTAACCTATGGCATATAAGGAAGTTTCTGGGCCCCTTGATGAAACATCTTCCCCCCCTCCCAGCCCGACTTCCACTTTTCAATTTTTCTTCCAAAAGTCTTTTCTTCCTAATTCCCTGTTGGTCGTGTGTGTGTGTGTGTGTGTGTGTGTGTGTGTGTGTGTGTGTGTTTAAGGTGGAGACAGAATACAGACAGGCTTCAGAAAAGTAAAACGGGAGCTGGTTATATTCCACAGTAATCACACTGCATGCGTGCACTGTTGTCAAATTAATAACACCACTTTAATAAGTTTGGAAAATTTGCACCAGCTTTGATTCCATCACCACCGTCACCAACCCCACCCAACCAAATGGTAGAATGGGTTGAAAATCTAAATTACTCCACCTACTGAAAGCACGTGGCACAGATTTCCTTAAGACATTGGAACATGTGTGCTTTGTCCTCCCACTGTGTTTTTCCTAGACTAATATGTAAATGACTTTCTTTCCTAAATCACATACTGCCTGGGCCTCGGCAGGCCACGATCTCTGCTTGGATTAAAGCTTGGCCATCAAGTAGATCATTGGAGGTTAATAAAGGCCTTCTTATTCTGACCAACGCGAGTTAAAAGATTCCATTTGCAAGCAGTCCTCTTTGCTTAGGTGAATCCTGTATCCTTTCAAAAACCTGCTCCGTGCAATGAAATCTGGCGTGGGTCACCTTAAGAGAAATAAGCTAATGGAAAAGTGACTGAGGACACTAGGGGGAAACAACAACTAAGAGCCTCAACATTTAAGTTCATGTCGTTTCATGAATTTCTTCTCCACTCTTACATATTGGCCTGTATCATTGTGTTCATTAACAGAATGAAAGAAAATCGCTTACACTGAGTCTCTGCTGCAGTTTAGATTCAGAACTTGGTAAGCCTTTAACCAGACATTTTCATGAACCTAGCCTAGTTTGATGGTTTAAAGGATGATTACCTAGTACGGAAATGTTAAAGGTTAAACCCCTGTCTCTTCTTCTTTGGGGCAGAAAACAGACTATAACTATTTAAAAGTTGAAAACGCATCTACTGATGATCTAACTCTTTCTCTGCACATTCAGAGGGAGGGTAAAAACTGCTTCCTGAGTTTCCTATTGAGCAGCCGGATGTCCTTGGCAATCAAAACTAGAAGGCAGCTGGTTCCTGTTGCTGACCCTAGTTCCAAGAATATGGATGCAGAACCAATGGAAGTGTATTCAAGAGTCAAGAAGGGGGGAGGGGGTTCCTGCAAAAGCCAGGGCCTAATTTTGAATAAAAGAAAGATGTCATCTTAATCTCTTCATTGTAGACATGAGATCTCAGCCATTATTAGTGCCCACGGTGTCCCAAGTCTTTGTGCAGTTTTAAGCTTTAATGACCTGTGTAGCACAGAGGCTACACACTCACAAAACACATCACTTGGAATTTATATTCACAAATTTCTCTTGACAGCTCCGTTTTGAGAATTCTGAATAATAATTTTATATGCTTCTATTGTGGTAAAAGTCTATGTTATAACAACTCGCCATTTTCAGGGTCTATGAGTGTATCTCATTAATTACATCCACTATGTTGGGCAACCACCACCATCATCGATTTCCAAGTGTTTCTTGTTGCCCCAAACAGAAATTCAACATCCCTTTACCACTAACTTGTCTCCAACGGACTGCCCCAAGGGCCTGGGCATCAGTAATAAAATTGGGCCTCTAAGCATTTGCCCGTTCTAGATTATTTCACACAAGCAGGATCATATAATACTGAGCCTTTTGTATCGAACTTTCTTCACTGAATCTCGATATTGAAGGACTGTCCATGTGGAAGTGAGTATCAGAATTCTAGTTCTCCTCACGGCTGAATAATATTCCATGGTAATATACACACCCCATTTTGTTTATCCAGTTATCTGCTGCTGAACACTTAGGTGGTTTTAACCTTGGAGCAATCGTGATGCTATGCATATTTATGTACAAGTATTTGTTTGGGTACCTGCCTGCAATTCTTTTGGGCACCTGCCTAGGAGTGGATTGCTGGCTCAGATGGTGATTCTGTTTAATTTTGGGAGGAACTGCCAACCTATTTCCCACAGTGGTTGTACCATTTTACAGTCCCACTGGAGATGAATGAGAATTCTGCTTTCTCCAATCACCATTCTCACTGGGGGTTTGGTTAGCTTTCCCCAGGAATTAATGGCCCTGAGCATCTTTCCGTGTGTTTGTGGTTATGTGCATATCATATCTTTTTTGGAGCAATTTCTAATCAATCCTTTGGCTGTGTCTTAATTGGGTTGTTTGTTTTGCTGTTTCTGAGGTATAGGAATTATTTATATATATGCTGGATAGTCAATCCTTACCAGATATACGGTTATAAAATATTTTCTCCTATTCTGAAGTCTATTTATAGTCGAAACCACCTAAAGGTCGGTGGTTTGACCCCACCAGCTGCTGTGCAGGTCAAAGATGTGGCAGTCTGCTTCTGCAGCTTTGAAAATCCTGTGGGGTGGGGAGTTCTACTCTGTCCTGGAGGGTGGCTATCAGGCAGACTCACTCGAAGACAATGGGTATCTGACATTTTACACGATGACTCCCAGGACTCCAAGTAGCTTTGCTCATGATAAAACCTATCTGCTAAGAATTTCAAACATGGCTAGCCTTTAAAAAGACTAAAATCTACCAATACAATGGAAGATGCCGTATATACTCGAGTATAAGCCGACCCGAATATCAGGCAAGGCACCTAATTTTACCACAAAGACTGCATTAAAAACGTGCTGAAAAAAAAGCGGCTTATACATGAATACATATGGTATTCAAAACTTTTTTTAAGCAAAGCCACATAGAGAAGACGATAGGTTCTCAAAGACTGATTACATAAATATGGGATTAAAAACATCCAGACCTAATACCCACTAACTTCATCTGACCAGTACTAGTGCTCCTCGGGAGAAATATTTCATTTAGGAAAATACTAGAATGCTTTCTAGTACTTCTGGGTCTGTGATTTGCTTGGAAATTCTCTAGAGGAGGAGGAGGAGACCAAACTAGATCACACTGACTGGCTGTGTTCTGAGAGCTGTGGGAGGCGGGTAGGGTAATGGGGACAAGGGAGTTCATTATGCTACTCTTTTAACTTTGTATAGGTTGAGAACTTTCCATTAGAAAATGGTAAATGAGGAAAAAAAGGAGCCCTGGTAGTGTAGTGGCTATGCATTGGGCTGCAATCCGAATGGTCGACAGTTCAAAACCACCGGCTCCTCTGGAGAAAAAACTGGGCTTTCTACTCCCGTAAACAATTACAGTCTTGGAAACCCACAGGGGGTCACTATGAGTCAGCGCTGACACTATGGCAGTGAATGAAGTGAGAAAAATAACTCTATTTCACATTATTTGAGCTGGATCTTGGCTGGTTAGTCCTCTAGAGCAGCTGTAATACAGCAAGTCCTCCATCAGCTGTAATTTACCCAAGTCCTCCATCACCGATGGCAATGCTCCTAGAGTTCTTAGAGCCAGACCGAGGGCTGCGGGCAATGTGAGTAGTGGAATCAGAGACATAAGTCTCACCATAGCCATTGTCACAGGCAGCCGAGGTCTCACTGGGCAGGGAAACAGAAGTCCTGTCTGCACAAGGGGAGAGGAGGACCTTTGGTAAATACTGTTACTTTCACTTTCCTTTCTCGCTTTTGCACTTGGCCCTGTCTTTTGGCATCCTGGGACCATCAGCCTAAGACAATCTAAAAAGAAAACTCAGCTCACCCTCTAGGATATTGGCAAAATGCTCTCGTGTCTTTGGCCTGACTTGGAGGCTTGGTCAGTAACTGGGTAAGCAAACCTATTTATAGTTGCATGCGTTTAAGATGAACATGACCTGCAGTTTCAACTAGGGATTCGGTTTCATCCACTAGTCCTCTTGACAAGTTTCAGAAGTGTCTCTCAGCACTCATCTACAAACGTGGAAAAGCACTGTCCCCAAATTAGCACACTGGGCAACCGAGGGCAGACACAGATGAGAGGCCAAAGAACTCGTGGGCCTGAAAATAGTAAGAGCAATCTCAAAGGCACCTGCTCCTGCCCAGGTTAGAACGTGTACTGGCTAAGGCACTTACTAAATTGGACTAACTCGTGACTCCTGATCAACTACAGACTCCAAAAAATCTCTCTGCCATAGAGCGGATTTCAACTCATAGCGACCCTATAGGGCCAGGTACAGCAGCCCCTGTGAGGTTCCAAGGCTGTAACTGTGAAGTATAGATTCTTTGACATAAAACAATAAATTAGTGATTTGGGAAGTAATTGCCAGTCCTTACCCCTCCTGCATAAGTGACTAACACATACCTTTCCTTTACAGGATGCCATCTTTTTCATTCATTCTTTTTTAAAAAATCATTTTATTGGGGGCTCATACAACTCTTATCATAATTCATCCATCCATCCATTGTGTCAAGCACATCTGTACATTTGTTGCCATCATCATTTTGAAAACATTTGCTTTCTACTTGAGCCTTTGGTATCAGCTCCTCATTTCTTTTTCCCTCCCTCTCTCCCTCATGAGCCCTTGATAATTTATAAATTATTATTATTTTTTCATGTCTTGCACTGTCCAATGTCTCCCTTCACCCCCTTGTCTGTTGTCCACCCCCCTGGGAGGGGGTTATATGTAGATCATTGCGATCGGTTCCCCCTTTCTCCTCCTACCTTCCCCTTCCCCTCCTGGTATGGCTACGCTCAATGTTGGTCCTGAGGAGTTTATCTGTCCTGGATTCCCTGTGTTTCCAGCTCTTATCTATACCGTGTACATGCTCTGGTCTAGCTGGATTTGTCATCTTTTTCTTTTTAACATGAGTGCCTTTGTGGGCTGTTAAAAGGCTCGCACTGCAAAACTTGGGAAACACAATAATGGAGACAGGCATCTAGAACAGGGGTGCTCGGTGAGTGGCTTTCAAAATAACAGCTGCGATCGCATCCCTTTCCTTCGGATATGGCAGCATCTAAGCCAGCAGCTCTCAACCTGTGGGTTGTGACCCCTTTGGGGGTCAAATGACCCTTTCACAGGGGTCACCCGATTCAACTAAAATAATTTTATTGTGGTGAGGTCACCACAACATGAGGAACTATATTAAAGGGTAGTGGCATTAGGAAGGTTGAGAATCACTGATCTAAGTGATGTCTCTCCTACAGGATAAAAGGTAACAACTAGCTTAAAAATATGGAAGGCCCTTTAAGTTAGAGACCTAAAGTAGGAGGTGTAAAGGCAAAAGAACTGGGAAGTGCTGCTAGAAACATAGAACTGTGGTGATGGAATCAACACTGCATTTGATAACAGTTAATGCTATCTAGAAAATACTATGCTTAGGGAAGGCTGGTATTCTCTGCTAGGTGAAAGGACATAATACAAAACGTAGACAAAGCAGCTACAATCAATGTACATCATCAACCGCAACCCAGAAACTACTTCACCCTGTCCAGCTGTGGATAATCTACCACCTTGTTAGTAGCTATTGAGAGAGGCTGGCTTACCACGGAATTGGGAATAAAAAGGCAAGGTGCCAAAGATATCATACACCCCCCCCCACCCCAAGGAAGTTCTATTGACTTTACAAGTAGCTGGGTTTTTATTTCGCAGTGTCTACACCTCCACGGGGAACACACACACACACACACACACATACACACCCCAAGGAAGTTCTATTGACTTTACAAGTAGCTGGGTTTTTATTTCGCAGTGTCTACACCTCCACGGGGAACACACACACACACACTTCCCAAGGAAGTGCTATTGAAACGGGGAATGAAAACACACACACACTCACACACACACACACACACACACACACACACACACACACACACTTCCCAAGGAAGTGCTATTGAATTTCCAAGTAGCTGGTTTTTATTTCAGTGTCTAGACCTCCATGGGGATCTCCCCTCTACAAGTACAGATCAAAAGGTGAATAGGTCTTACATGATCCCACTAGATCAGGTGTCCTCAAACTACGGCACGCAGGCCACACGCGGACCGCTGAGGACATTTATCCGGCCCACCGGTGTTTTTGCCCCATTTTTTTTTATATTCAAAATAAGATATGTGCAGTGTGCATAGGAATTTGTTCACAGTTTTTTTTTTAACTATAGTCCGGCCCTCCCACGGGTCTGAGGGACAGTGAACTGGCCCCCTGTTGAAAAAGTGTGAGGACCCCTGCTAAATGCTGATGTGGTTCTTTTTAAATGGAGCCTATCCTAATGCCCGTTGGTTGTATTCAGTTGTTTACCATGAGCTGAGATCAGACAGTTGGGCAGCCTCCGGGGACAGCATGTTGGTAGTGCCTTGGAAGAGTCTCTTGGGCTGGCTCTCCGTCTCCATTTCACCTAAACAGAGAGAGATTATGCTGATGGGAAGACATCCCACGAATAAATACTGGCGTGCTGCTCAACTGCAACTGAGCTCTACTTAATCAAAGCTTATCATTTTTCTTCCAGCGGTTACATCAAAGCTCTTTGCCCATGTGCTTTCAGAAAGATCTTATTGCGTAAACCCCAAACGCCAAACTCGCTGCCATTGAGTCAGTTCTGACTCACAGCAGTGGCAGTAGGGGCCAGGGTAGAGCTGTCCCTGTGGGTTTCCAAGACTATAAATCCTTGTGGGAGTAGAAAGCCTCATCTTTCTCCCACGGAACTGGTGGTTTTGAATAGCTGACCTTGTGGTTAGCAACCCAATGTGTAACCTACTCTACCACCAGGGCTCCTTCATTATTACTACATGGCCTCGATCAAAAAGCCACCAGCCCTAAAACCCAAAGCCCTCTTTAGTTTGCTGTGGCTCTATCCATGACCTGTAATAGTAGAATATGGATTGGGTCACATAAGATGAGCCAAGACTAACCACAGTAGCATCTACAGTATTCACAAATCGCTGATGCCGACAGTTAATACAACGTAATGTCCAGGACAAGCAAAGACTAATGCTGTTGGCCGTTTGACTATGTAAACATTTCCTGAGTTTCAGTTAAATAGGATTAAAACAACAACACCAACACACACAGTCTGGTAAAGAGTATATAAATAAAAGGTTGCTTTTGAATTTTGAAGCACCTGGCTCTGGGTCCAAAGGTCAGTGGCACAAGCCCACCAGCTGGTCCTTAGGAGGAAAGGGAGGCTTTCTGCTTCCATATGGATTTACAGCCGTAGACCCCTACAGGGGTGGTACTACTCTGTCCTGCAGGGTGACTGTGAATTACAATGGACTCAATGGCAATGGGTCTGAATTCACACCTCCGAGTGAAGAGGAAGATGAAAAATACAATCTTGAAAGCACCTACCTGTGGAATTCTTAATCAATTCGCAAAACTGGCAATTTATTGGCTACCTCAGTGCCTACCAATTTGCTCACAACTGGTCACAAAAAGCCTCTGCGCCAATAGGAATAACATTCTCATTTTACCACTGGGAGTGCAAACACTGGCAACCCTAAGTGAGGAAGCAAGGGTCCCTTTGAACATACGCTGTGATTGGAGTTAAACCATGAACACACCTTGGCTTTAAAGCTTTTGTATCTGACCTTTGCCATAGGCTATTCAAGACCATTTCAGCCAGGAGTCTATCTACACTCCATTAGGAAATTGGAACTTTGAGCTTAAACAGCTAAGAGAGATTCCCAGTGAAAAAAAAAAGAATAAGTTAGAACCCCGGCAGCATTCACCTTTTTCTCTCCAAATTATTCACTAACGTAATTTTCTCTTCTCTATATAGCTAGCCTGAAATTCAGAAGTGGTGGCATTTTATTAATGGCTTTTGCCATACTATGGAGCTTTCTCAATCTGCTGCCTGGCTTCCAACTCCACCTCCCTAACAGGAGACTTCAGCCCTTTTTAGCAAAGAATCTCTCCATCTGCTGGTATGTTTTGGGATTGCTGGGAAACAAAATCACAATTCTCTCACCTTACTCTGGGCCAGATGTACTAACAGTTAACAACAGCAACCGTTTTCATTGTCAAGCATGATTTGCATTGAGGGAGACCTGATGGCACAGTGGTTATGGATGGAGCTCCTAACCACAAGGTCAGCAGTTCAAAACCACCAAGTGTTTCATGGGAGACAGATGAGGCTTTCTATTCCTATAAAGAGTTTCGGTCTCAGAAACTTACAGGGACAGTTCTACCCTGTCCTATAGGGGCACTAAAAGTTGGAATCGACTCAATGCAGTGAGTTTGGAGTTCTTGACTCCTAAGGTTCTTTGAGCTGGTGTATAATGGTGAAAACCTAGTTTAATTTCTAAAGTACAACATGCTCGCTAAATACTAATATTGCCACCATCAGGATCTTGTCTCTGAAGCATCCGCTTGTCAGCTGGAATGTGGATGATGATATGCCTGCAAAGCCACAAGCACCTATTCACCTAACTTTAGGAGGGCTGGCTTGTTTATTGGCCCACTAAGCAACCACTTAGTGAACCGTTCTCCACTTTCCTAATGCTGCAACCCTTTAATACAGTTCATGTGGTGGTGACCTCCCAACCATCAAATTATTTTCGTTGCTACTCCATCACTGTCCTTTTCCTACTGTTATGAATTGGGCGACCCCTGTGAAAGGGTCGTTCGACCCCCAAAGGGGTCGCGGCCCACAGGTTGAGAGCTGCTGACTTAGTGAATTGTCTTTGAAAAATTATCACTAAAAGTCTTGTTTAAAATGACATCCAATGCTTGCCGCTGACTACACCTGTGTTAACTGGCTTTGCTTTAAAATCCGTCCCCTCCCCTAAGCAGATTCTCTCAGGTGCCTTCTATAAGCATATAATGAGTACTGATTGAGCTCATTTTAGGTATTTATGACCTGTGGGTCAAAATAAGGTAAGGGAATAATACCTTGCTACCATTTATCAAAAACACGACCCACCAGCAAATTAAGCCCTTGGCTATCGAGTCCATTCCGACTCATTAGCGACCCTGCCTAGGGTTTGCAAGGTTTGCAGTCTGTATGGGAGCAGGCAGCCCCTCTTCCTCCTGGGGATGTGCAGTGCAATGCTTACCTGGCAGCTCCACCAGGGCTCCTTATAAACACTAAAGCGCCTTGAAGATCCGGCAAGTCCTTCATTGCCGAGGAGTAATTTCATGGTGAGCCATCTGCTTCCATAAAAATGTACATCCTGGAAAGCTGTACAGAACAGTCCTTCCCTGCCCCATGTGGTCACTCTGGGTCAGAATCCACTCGCCAGCAGTGACCGTCACTGTACACGTGAGCAGACTATGCCATTGATCTATGCGCTATGGCAGAAGCATTCTGCAACATATCAACTCTGTATTTCATATTTAAATCAGTGAGAGGGAATATTTCTGGAATATATGCTGATCATCTGGTTTTTTAAGTGAAATTCAGTTATGACATGTACAAAAACAAAAACAAATATACAAGCTCACTTGCCTTCAAAGTCAAAGCTGATTCACAGTGACCCCCTGTGGGTTTCCAAGACTGTAACTGTTTACAAGAATAGAAAGTCTTTCTCCCAAGGAGCTGCTGGTGGTTTTGAACTGCTGACCATGGGGACCACAGCCCAACATGTAACCACTATACCACCAGGGCACCAGTATGAGGTATAAAGAAGATATAAAAATTCTGACTCATAGCAGCCCTGTATAGGATTTCTGAGGCTGGAAATCTTTATGGGAGCAGACAGTCTCATCTTTCTCCCGCGGCACAGTGGGTGGGTTTGAACCGTTGACCTAGCGGTTAGCAGTCCAATGCTTTCCTGACAGTGCCACCAGGGCTCCATTATCAAATAATCAAGTTTCAAAATTCAGACTTGCTAAAGCATACATTCACATTCAGGGAAAAGGCGAATATGCATTGAACTATTTTCAGCCAGAAATTCTAGTTTTAATTCAAGCTCGACTGGGTTCAATAGCAGAAGCGTGAAGCATACCTTTTCTCTTCACAGGGCCAAGGACGCTGGGCCTAATGCACTTGACTGGACTTTGACTCCGCCTGCTTAAGTGAACAAACAAACAGGATGACCCACAGTGCCCCCAAGATAAGAGACAGGCAATGCTTACACAGCCCACCAAATTAGCACAGATACACAGACCAATGGACAAAGAACCAAATCTGACATTCATCTAAGGGAGACAAGGAAAATGCTAAGGTTGGATGCTGAGTAACTGAAAGGCCAATCCATGATTTGACCTGGTCGATGGCAATCTGGAATCACATGGCACTTGAAGCGATTTCCTTTCCTTGTAACAAAACAAAATGCCCAGCACAGTTCTTTCAAATGATCGCTTATTAAAATGTCACTCGGATCTTATCTGATATACGACCTTTAGAAACATTTCCTAATCCTTAGTAAGAGTAAATGATCGTGTATGTGCATGTGTGTGCCCGTGTTTCCCTTCTGGATATAAAGCAACACTAAGTCTCCATCCCGGAGCCTCGATGGCGTTGTGGTTACGTGCTGGGCTGCTAACCACAACTACCAGCTGCTTCTCGGGAGAAAGACAAGGCTTTTTACTTCTATAGATATGGACAGTCTCTAAAACCCAAAGGGGCGGTTCTACTCTGTCCATCGAGGGTCACTATAGGGTCGTTATGAGTTGGAATCCACTCAATGGCAGTGAATTTGAGTGTTTCCAAGAAGTCTGCCTATAAGAAGCAGATATAGGTGTGTTCCCAGAGAAATGCTTTCAGTTGTACCTATGTTTAAAAGCTTCCAGCATGTCATCCTGGAGACAAGCTTAATGAGTGGCATTTAAACTGCATTTAGAATCCCCGATCACATACCTCGAAAATCGTCTTGGGCTGGAAGAGGGACTTGGCGACAGTCCACTGCTACTCACAAACATTTGAAGAGATGGTGAGAAACATTGCTAGAACAAAATGTTTAACATTAAAATCAATCACTCCCGTTTTCATGAGGTTCTTTTTACAGAAATGTATGGCGATGTGTTTCTCAGCTGTCTCTGGATCTATATATTATTTATCCCTTTCAAAATCCTCCCCAAGTTTCACTAATTTTCATAGAAGTCACTGCATTGGATGCTTTCCATGTCAGGTAGTAAGGTGTGGGGCAGAGGGTGTTTTTGAAAGGACACCCCGCCTTGTGTGATAGAGGGTTACGATGTTGTCCATGAGCCTACCTTTCCAAATCCTCTGGTGGGAGATGGTGCTGGAGAAACTGGAGTGAAATCAATTCTCTTAGGAGAATATAATTTCTCCGGCTTGTCGCCATCGCTATCACTCTGTAAACATAAAGTGTTATCGCCTCGCAAACATGCAGCACATCACAGCTCTTATTCTAGAGCTCTAACGACTATCACACACCTGCGTTTCTAAAGCGAAAGTCGAGTGATGGAAAAGCCGAGGGTATACCTGTGGGACCAGACGGCACAGAAGCCTAGGGAAAAATGAAGCCAACCAACCATGCACAGGCTGCAAGCTAATAAAAAGCAAACAGGCACGGGGGCAACTTTACCAGGCTCAAGCTCTCATCCCATGATTGGCTTATCTGCATGACTGTTTGCACTTCCCTAAAACCAATGAGACGGAAGGTGTCAGTGCTGACAAGCCAGCCACGCCAGCTGAGGTTGATCTCAGCCACCCCTGGGGAGCACGCACCTTTCACGTGCAGCCTCTTGGTTCATCACGTCCACCCCTTCTTCCTGCAAAGAGAACACGTGCTGAACAGCGGCTATGCAGCCACCCGTTTCGCCATGGCATGCGGAGCAGCAAGGTGGTTCAGCTTGATTTGAGAGAAAGCAAATCAGCAGGCCCAACACCGCTGCAGCCCGAGGCCACATCTGGCGCTTGGCTGCCGACCCAGAAGGCCTGTCGGGGTCGACAGCTAGCCAGGGTTCTCTTCCCGAGGAAGAGACAATCTGGACGGAAGGAGGGCGGGGCAAGGTGCAGACTGGGCTAGGAGGGAGAACTTACCCTTTTGATTTGTTGCAGTCGGCTACTCAGAGTGCGGCTAATCAGAGTGCGGTTCGGGGAGGTGGAAAACTGCTGGAAAACAAAAGTCGACACTGACAATTTTTGGAGTCACAAAGTGGCCGTCTGCTGGCGGGACTGGGCTCCAAACCTATGCCCCGGAGGGTCCCCTAGTCTCCTTAGAAAGGTGGTTCTTTAAAAATCACTGGCCTCTGATGGACTTGAGGCAACATTTTAGAAGGTACAGCAGGTGTCCAACCTCAAAGCAACATCTGTCACTAGGCAGCTGCTGGCTTTATCATTTGTCCCCAAATGAACACGGCTGTAAAAAGACCCCATGCTTTGGAAATCTCCATCACCCCACTTGTCTGAAACCCAAACTCACTGGCCTACATTTGATGCTGACTCATAGGGACCTGGAAGGACAGGGTAGAAGTGCCTCCTCCCCTTTTGAGTGTCGCAGAGAGTAACTATTTATGGGAGTAGAAAGCCTTGTCTTTCCTCAGCGGAGCAGCTGGTTTCAAACTGCCAACCTCGTGGATTGCAGCCCACTATGCCGCCAGGGTCCCCTTGTCTGAAAGAAGGTGCTGTGTGTGGGGAAAGTTGCTGACACAGGTCTTTATTCAGTTGGCGTACCAATGCACCAAGGGGGGGAGGTAGGCTGATTGGTTCAGTATGATGGGGAACTCCAATACCTTCAGAGTGGAGTTAAGAGATTTAGCTTACGCAATTTCAAGTCAAGGAGCCCTGATGGTGCTATTGGGTAAGTGCTGAACTATAAGGCCAGTGGTTCAGAGCCACCAGCCACTCCGTGAAAGAAAGGGGAGGCTGTCTACTCCTGTAAAGATTTTCGGGCTCAGAAACCCTATATAAGGTTGCAAGGAGTCAGAATCGATTCCGAATCGATGGGTTTGGTTTGGTTAGTGCAGTTTATAGTGATAGCATTAGTGATCAACCTTTAGAGTGCCTTTAGATTCCCAAACCAAACCAAACAAACCCACTGCCATTGCATTGATTTCAGGTCACAGCAGCCCTATATAAGGTTTCTAAAATTAGAAATCTTTAAAGGAACAGATAGCCTCATCTTGCTCCTGTGGAGCAGCTAGTGGATTTGAACTGCCGATCTAGTGGCCCAAAGTCTAACCTATAGTGTTACAAGAGAGCCTTCAAACCTAACTTAAAGACAAAAGAGTAAAAAAAAGTAAAAAACCACCACCACCACCACCACCCCCCACACCAAACTCACTGTCATCAAGTCAATAGGATTTCCGAGGCTATAACTACAGAAAAACAAAATCTTCCTCGTGAAGATTACTAGTTAAATCTCACTAGTGAAATCTTATCAAACCTTAATGGTTACAAATAACCATTGCAAAGGCAAAGGGCATCTTTATACTAACTAGGCTTTCCCTTAGAGCAGTGCTTCCCAAAGGAAGTTGTACCATTCCCCCTGTGGGGGCGGGGGGTGGGGTAGGGGGGGGTGCTGAAAGTATCCAGGGGGGCTGCCAAAGCAGATACCTACACTTTACCCTGGATGATGGGCTGTAGGACAAACCATTTTAATTGCTGGCAATGGGGAGGCAGTGCTAAGATTTGGGGGGGGGGGTGTTGAAAAGGGAGTATAGGCTAAATGGTCGTGAACCTATGTCTTAGGTCACTTTTTAAAAATAGTTTTTGTGGAAGCGATCCAATTATGCACCATCAGAAAAAATCCAAATCTGAGCACACAATGTAAGGCACACTCCTTATCACCAGATCTCACAGGGTTCTAACTTGGCCAAAGGCAAACACAATTTGTTCCCTAATGCAGGCCAAATAAGTCTATACTAAGATGACACTGTTATAAGAGTTACAATTCCATTTTTAAAGTTTTAGTATAAAAATATAATTTTAATAATATAAAATGGTCCTTAATGGCTACAAATTATTTTCGGTCAAATGTAATTCAATATAGTATATATAGTAAATGTATAGTTAATAATCCACTCAAATATTATTTTTCCTCCAAAGCTATCCCTCCCTTCAATACCCCTCTTGATTTTTTCTCTCCTTGGCTTTGAAAAGGGAAACTACCATTAAAGTCCTTGTAAAAAGTCTTCTCCTCCCTCTTTTTGTTCTCCATTTGGAAAGTAATGTATGTTTCCTGGTGAACTGTGAATAGGATCACTTGGAGAGCGCTGAGTCACTGGGCAAGTCAACAGGGCAGGGAAAGCTGTGGAATGGGAGGCTGGGGGAGAAGGGCATGGATGTGCAGGCTGATAAGAGAGCAAAAGGAACCCCAAAGAAGCAGGCCAGCCAAAGAACTGCCAAAATCTGAGGAAAGAGAAAAATGAGCGAATCTAGATTCACTATCCACCTGATATTCAATTGGTCAATGCTAGACAACAGACCAGAGAGGGACACCTAGCCAAGAAGCTGTGTGTGCTACCAGGAGTGGGTCGGCTGAGGGAGCACCCAAGGGCTTGAGGAGGTGCTAAGTAGAGCAAAGAGCTCATGCGGGATAAGAAACAAAGCCCCTGCCACTGGCAATCAGATGGGCCTATGGGCAATCTTTTGCAGAGTTGTAGTAGGAGTAGCGAGGTTTCCAAAGCTGGGGTCCAGCTGATCAGAAATCGGGAGACAAGGAGCTGGAGTTGAGAGCGGAAGAGGATGCTGTGGAAAACCTCCCAGAGCAGAATTTGAAAGGGGGAAGGAGTGCGCTGCTTCCTGCACGTGAGATGTGTGAGCTGGGCAAAGAAGAGGGAAGGAACAGAGGCGGTAAAGTCCCAAGGTAGAGGGGAGGTGAGAGACAGAGCCCAGCCAGTGACAGGAGTGTCAGGAGACATCTAATAGGAAAGCACCAGGTGCACAGGCAAGGCCACCTTAAGGAGAAGGAAGCCAGGAGGCACCTGCCTTCTCTGAGGAGGGAGTATTAAGGGCAGTCTGGTGAGAGACAGGAAGCTGGCCATGACAACTAAAAAAGAAAGAAAAAAAGATTGAGCTATTGTTCTGGCCAAGAGCGTGGAGCCAGTGGTCCTGTGAGCCCCATTCCCACTTGCTCCCCACAAATGCCTCCTTTCCCTTCAAATGGCCAGTGTCTTCTGATTTCTGCCCTGCATAAAGGAAAACCCATCCCCGGGACCCCAAGAAAGAACATTTCCATCACACCGAGTCGACGTGCTCCCTGCCCCCACATCAAATCAGCTGGTGCCCATGTCTTCTCCATGCCCATCCCAGTGACCATCCTCATGAGTGGCTGGACCATCGTTTCTGACTCATGGTACCCCCGTGTGTGCAGAGTAGAACTGGAGAGGGCCGAACCACCAACCTGTCTGTTAGCAGATGAGGGCATGACTGTGTGCCCCTCCCAGGGCCTCCAACACAGATAATAGATGTCTGTCCCTGGAGGGTGCTGTGGAAGACGTCCCAGAGGAGAGGGGAGCATTCAATGGAGTTCCGCAGGGTCAGAAAGCTCCATTGGAGAAGGAGAGCAACCGAAGGCTCGCCTAAGGGCTCATCCTGCGCATGGAATTCCTGTGGTACCTGCAGCACACCAGGTGTGCATTTGTACTGGAGCCCAGAGAGATGGGCGGGCCGAGAGCTGATAGGCATCTTCTGCACTCACCAAGTAGGAAGTGGAGTGTAGAAAGGCAAATTGATTGTTACCTTCCTCTAGATGCTATTGATAACAGGAATCTAACTGGATGATGCTTAGAGACTTCTTTCACAGATGTGGCAGAACTCTTTAGACTGGCTGCTTTGGCTGCTGCTTTTAGATGGGAAACTAACACTTAAGCCCAACTACTTAGAAGGGAGAGTACTCTGCAATGTGCGAGATATCACACACCTGTAGGCAGTGTAGTCACCTAAGGCGAGCTTAATGACCTAGGTCTCCTTAAGACCAGATAATCATTATACTGTTGTATACGGATGAGGAGGAGCCCTGGTGGCATGGTGGTTCTGCTTTGGGCTGCTAACTGCAAAGTCAGCAGTTTGAACCCACCACCGCCCTGCAGGAGAAAGAATGATAAGACATGCTACCCTCAGAGAGTTACCGCTTCAGAAACCCACGGAGGCCGTTCTACCCTGCTCTCGGGGTCACTGTAAGTCAGAATGGCAGTGAGTTTGCTTCGAAGTTTGTTATGTTGGGGACAGGCGCCCCTAATGGTGCAGTGTTGATGCTCAGCTGCTGACCCAACAGCGGTTCAAATCCACTCCCTGCTCCAAGGGAGTCAGCTCTGTGGCAGTCAGCTTCCTGAAGGCCAACAGCCTTGGCAACACTCTGGGGCACTCTGCTCCGGAGGCTCCAGGCTTGGACTCCAGGCAGTGGGTTTGACACCAGCCACACCCTTGAGCCTATTAGCCGGCCATTCATTCTCATATTAAGTGGCCCCAGTATTCAGCTCCTCCTCCTTTGCTTTCAGGTATCAGTATCACTGGACATCAAAGGACCTCTTCTGATTGGCTACTTCGCATGCACTGCTGGGGGGCTGGAAGCTTAGTATAAACATGCAGACATTTTAGAAGATGCAGAGGTCAGAGGGGCTCTTGTGCTTCCTGTGCCGGGACTGTGGTGGAATCTCATCTAGCCATGGAGAGCTTGGTGTAGCTGACATTTCAGAGGGCTTCCATACAATTGGAGCCCTGGTGGCATAGTGGTTACTCATAGGGCTGCAATCCACATGGTCGGCAGTTCGAAACCACCTTTTTTGAAAAACTGGGCTTTCTACTCCCATGAATAGTGACAGTCTCAGAAACCCACAGGGGGTCACTCTGACTCAGCATGGACTCCATGGCGGTGAATGAGAGTTTTTCCGAGACAACTGGAGCGATGGGGTAAGCAAGCCCTGTTGCCATGAACCACAGAGGTTTAAACTTTCTTATCATTTCCAACCCCACCAGTGAATAAGGTGATTCCTGGCAGCCTGGGCTGCGTAATACAGTTGAGATCAACAACTCACCTCGAGAGGAGAGACCCTGAGAAGCCCTGAGAGGGGACTGCCTTCACAGCAACACCCAGCAGATGAGTCAGGAAGAAAGCCCCTGCCACTGTGGAGGGGGTGTTTTTGTTCTGCAGCCTAGGTCAAATAACGACCACAGTTCTCAGCTACCTCAGGACCACGGGGCAAGGAATGACCAAGAGCAATGAAAAAGGCCTTAGAGAAAGCCACAAAGTTCCACAACAACCCTCCCCCCCCACCCCGCCCCTAAAAGCTTAGCGAGGTCACTTTTTTTGCACCCAAAACTAATAATGGCCACTGTGTGAAAGACCGTTCATCTTTCCTCCTTTGGGGAGGGTGGGGGGACAAGTCTCTGCAGCACATACTCTTCCAAAAAGGAATGGCCAGAAGACCTCTCTCTGGCCCAGATCCCCGAGATACTTACTTCCCTACTTACCAAGTTGCTGCGGCTCATAATCGTCGTACTATTCCTCCGAGTTCGAAACGTGTAAGGCTGAAAGGCCTGTGAAAAGTCACTGAGAAACCAAAGTTCAATTGTTAAAGGATCTAGAAGACATGGCGGGTTTCTGGCAGTTGGGGTTCACATCGATTCTCATAAACTCCTCACCCTGCTCATCCCTGGCTCCCTACCTGGGGTGCTATGGATGACAGGTTTGCCAAGATACTCCTCTCCTGGGGGCAGGGGGAAGTAGGGCAGGGAGAGGTGTGGGGGTGGAGCTCTAGAGTGGTTGCCTCCAGCTAGCTGGTGAGTGCTCACCCCTACCCCACCCCACCCAACCAGGTCTCACCAGACCAGGGAAGCCTCATCTGTTTACCCCGCAAGACTCACAAATCCTATCTTTTTCTGTGTGCCTGGTGACGTGAGACCCCTATCAGCACATCCGTCACCTTTGCCCCATCATTGCTCTACCTGGAGGGCCATTGTTGGACCTGAGGCTTTGTTAGTATGTGCCCTCTGCCCTTGCTGCCTTCCCATTTCCTGCTATCATCTCACAAAGCCTTTCTTTGCTCTCCTCCAATGACCATTTCCCAGGCCCCACCAACCTACCGCCATCTTTCCACCCAAATAGCACAGGGGGAGACCAGATACTTCTTAAGACCGCTTCCATAATTTACCCCTCTTTATTAAAGAAACATCAGAACCTGTGCTCATTTTTGTATACTGACTCTTCAGAGCCTAGCAGAATGCCGCGGCCATTTTACCAACACAGCGGCTTCGCAGGGCAGAACTGGATTGAGCACGACTGGACTGGACTGGGCTGGCCTTCTGAGCCCCTTGGAATTGCTGAACTCAGCCCACCTGATTTTCAGATGAGAAAACTGAGACTCGGAAAGGTTAAGTGATTCCTTCAGGATGGGAGCAAGTGAGAAGATTGGCCTGAGGCCTGGCCTAGCCAGCATACTATTGTCCAGTAATGATTTAAATCATCATTCATCATTAAAAAAAAAAGAAGCATATTCTTAGGGTTGCCTAAATGCGGGTCAACAAGATCACCCAAGTGCCTAAGGACTGCTCTTTCAGACCCGACTGAAAAAAGACCACCCCAAAGACCAGTTTATTCTTCTACTAATAAAAATAAATGTAGCCTTAGGAAGAAAAAAGTCCCTTAATTATTCCCTCAGTTTCAAAATAGTCATTAATAAAAGAAAAGAGTAAATCTGCCTCCCCTCACCATCACACACACACACACACACACACACACACACACACACACACACACACACAGATTTTCTCATCAGTTCAATACTCCAAGGCTGCTGTTTTCCTTGCCTGCACTGGATTAATATGGTTTGGGCTAATTCCATTGGCACCCCACCCCCCTTCTGGGGGCTAATTCCATTTCTACAGGGTCTCCCAAGCTGGCCCTTTCCGTATGATGAATTGTCTACTTTTATAAATGAAAATGCCGGAGACTCAGGAGGAGCGCCCACCTAACCTTAATAATCACAAGAGGCTGCCCTAAAATAGACCCGTCTAGTGACTCATTCACTAGACCCTGCCACTCAAACTCAAGGGTCGATTATTTCCCTCATTTTCCAAAGCCCGCATTCGTACAGAGCTAGCTAAGCTGTATTTATTAAAAAAAAAAATTCACTAGTTTTGTGGCATTGCAGGGCATTTCAGAGTCTGAAAACAAGAGGATGAACCCAAATCATTTCCTATGATAAAAATACACCCTTTCCGGGCACATTATTAGAGAAACAGTGATTGATTAAACCCCTTTTAAAGCCTGGGATCCTCAACCCAGCTTAGAAATAGCAGCTCTTGGGGACAGGTGTCAAGTTGCAAGCCCAGTTCCAGGGGCTTCAGTCTGACGCTGGGTGCTGTCAATTAGGCAGGGCAAGCAACCTGTCAGAAGAGCCAGAAGCTGCCTGGAGCGAGTTCCTTTAGATAGGAAGGACAGAGCCACAGACAGAGGGTCCCTTCTCACCCTCTCCCAGGGTTTAGTCACACTTTCACTCTCTACCTTGGGATCCTAAGGCACTGAGAAGCAAACTCGTCCCCACCTCCTCGGTTTGGAGACCCCAAACGAGCTCCAACTCTCATTTAAGCTGCTTGTCAGGGCCAAGCCCCCCCACACCCCCACCCGCCCCGCCAACCCCTTACTCCATCCTCATCAGCCTTGCCCACCTGAGCCCAGAGATCAGGGGTGCGCTGTTGGATCTCCTCAGGGTGACCCCCTCGGATGTATCAGGCTCAAAGTCCAGCTCCATTTTCTCCTGAGCCATGTCCGGTACTCGTAGGCAGGCAGGCAGACAGGCAGGCAGGCAGGCAGGCAGAGCGGACAGTGCTCAGCCCCTGGTGCTATGCTCTGGACTCCCAAGACTCCTAGTGCTGGACTGAGCGGCTGGGGACGGGCAGCTGGGGGCGGGGGCTAAGGGGCGGAGGCGCGGGGGCGGGGGGCGGAGAAAAGTCTCGGAAGGAGGCGGAGGGATGGAGGAGGAAGATGAGGAAGGCAGGATGGAGAGGGGGGCGGTGGTGGACGCAGACAGAAGGAAGAGGACTGAGCAGAAAAGAGAGGGAGACGGAGGATGGAGGGTGGAGAGGTATGGCGGGAAGACCATAGGGTAGAGAAAAGAGGATGAGAGAGGGGAAAGGGGCAGATAGAAAAGCGGGAGGGCAGACAAGAACGATGGAAAAGGGCAGAAGGGGAGGGGTGGCAAGGAAGGAGGACAAGGGGGCAGAAAAAGAAAGGTTTAGGTGTGGGGAAGAGGAGTGAGGAAGAGCAGGAATAGAGCGGAGGAGGAGAAAACTAGGCATTGGCAAAAGTCATGCTGCTACATTGCTGGCCGTGGACCTCAATCGGGGCCCGGCATCACACGCCGTGGCTGCCCGGGCTGCACTGGCACCGAGGAGCTGGCAGTCTGGGCGCCTCCAGCGCCCCATGCTCTGGGAGCAGGTTCTGCTCCCCATGCTCCAGGTCCCGGTCCCTGCGCTCCTCAGTGGGATATGTGCTTCTCCCTTCCCTCCACCCTTCCGCCTGGAAGATCGGTGGGGGCTCGGTCCCTTAGCCACCGCAGGGCTTCCTCTTCTGGTCTTGGTTTCTAGTGACCCCGAGCAACTCGTGGGAGCCAAGATCGAAAGCTACAACCTGCCGCTGTCTCCTTTTACGCTTCGGGAAAAGGAGCCTTGGCGGAGCCGCGGCTCTCCAGTGTCCCGGTACCCATCAGTTTCTGCGCATGCGCGCGGGGCAGCTCCAATGGGGGCTCATAGTCATGGAGCGTGCGTGCGCGCTCCGCCCCCTCCCGCCCCTCGCAGACTTTCCCCACAAAGGGGCGGGGCGTTTCCAGGGGACACGACGCCCTCCTCCACTGCATTGGCCCGGGCACCATGGCGCTTGATTTCAAAAAGAGCCAATAGGTTGGAGAACTGCTGCGGCGTTTTTTCGGGAGAGTTTGGCGTAATGTTGAAGAGAATTCTAAACACGGGATTTCCACGGATTTCGGTCCCAGTCTGAAGGCTATGACCTCTGTAACTTGATGGCTGATCCTAACAGTGGCGTCACTGGGGGTGTGTGGATTGCAGACACTGTCTGAGGGAGTGACACCCAAATGCACCCCAATTCACACAAACTCCCTTTCTTGCACATGGGCATATGTACTCCTGATAGTAAAGAAATGAATAATAATAAAGTGGGCATTTCATTGGCGCTGCTCGTTCCAGAAGGCTAATGAAGTCAAGTAAAGCACAGAGAGCCCTGGTGGCATGGCGGCTTGAGCATTGCATTGGTAACGAACTGCTAGATGGGCTGTTCAACATCCACCCCCCACCCCCACCCGCCTACTCCTCTCTGTGAGGTCGTGGTGGTGACGGAGATGAAGCTGTCTTCTCAGGTAAAGATTTACAACCTTGAAAAGCCCTACATAGGGTCACATGACCACAATCCATTGGAGGACAGGAGTGAGATGTGAAGCAGTTCGAAGATTAAAATATCCGCACCCCACAGGTTAAGTATCATTCAAAAGGCTCCCTTCCACCAAGTCCATTCTGCTTATAGTGACTCTATAAGCCAGGGCAGAACTGTCCCTATGGGTTTCTGAGACTGGAAGTCTTTCTTTTTCTTTTTTAATAAATCATTTTATTGGGGGCTCTTACAGCTCTTATAACAATCCATACATCAATTGTATCCAGCACAATTGTACATATGTTGCCACCACCATTCTCAAAACATTTTCTTTCTACTTGAGCCCTTGGTATCAACTCCTTTTTTCCCTTCCTCCCCCACCCTCCCAACCTCATGACTCCTTGCTTAATGATGAATTATTATTATTTTCATATCTTACACCATTCTCTGTCTCTCTTCACCCGCATTTCTGTTGTTCCTCCCCCTGGGGGAAGGGAGGTTTATACATCTGCACTGTGATCAGTTCCCTCTTTCTTCCCCTTCTCCCCCCACCTTCCCCCTACTCTCATGGTATTGGCTACTCCCGTTATTGTTCCTGAGGGGTTTCTCTGTCCTGGATTCTGTATCAATAGCTCTTATCTGTACCAGTGTACATGCTCTGGTCCAGTCAGAATTGTAAGGTAGGACTGGGGTCATGATGGGGGGGGGCAGCCATTAAAGAACTAGAGGAATGTTGTGTGTTTCGTCGGTGCTATACTACACCTTGTTTGACTTGTCCCTTCCTTGTGACCATTCTGTGAAGGGATGTCCAATTGTCTACCGATGGGCTTTGGGTCTCCACTCTAGCCCCCCTCTTTCACATCAATGATTGTTTGTTTTAGGTCTTCTGATGCCTGATACCTGATCCCATCGACACCTCGTGATCACACAGGCTGGTGTACTTCTTCCATATGGGCTTTGTTGCTTCCCTGCCAGATGGTCGCTTGTTTAACTTTAAGCCTTAAAGACTCCAGACGCTGTATTTTCTTACAGTCATGCACCATCAGCTTTCTTCACCACATTTGCTTATGCATTCATTTTGAGAATAGAAAGCCTTGTCTTTCTCCCATAATTATCTGTAGACCTGTCCTATTGTGCTTCCTGAACTGATGGGACGAAGAGACCTCCTTTCCTGGTTCCTGGTCCATTTCCTGGGCCAAGTGAAGGCGCGAAGTCCAAGACTATAGTGAGAGGGGCTGAGGGACAAGACCCAGCTAAGGGCATGCAGGTTTATCTCATGTAATGAAAAAGAATAATATTAAAATGATTATAATTTTGCTGACATTCTAAAATGCTTTTTTCCCCAACTTCTATTGTTTTCTTACCAAATTTTTACTTTAAACTAAGTAAAACATTTAGAATGTGTCTATCAAAAAAATGTGTCTATCATCATTTAAAGGTGCATGTTCAATTTTGCTTATTGTTTCTGTCATGATATTGCATTATTCAGTGATATACAGAAATTCCAGTTGATAAATAACATTACTACAAGAAACATTACTAAGGAGTCCACATGGACTTTTCCCAAGGTCGGTGGAGACGGGGGTGGATACCATGAGTTACTACAGTGCACCAGTGGCACTATCCCTAGTGACCCCACTGGTTGGTCTCTGTCAGTGGGCCAATTTCTTTTTCAGATCATCCATGTGGAAACACTAGACCAGCGGTTCTCCACCTGTGGGTCGCAACCTCTTTGGAGATCGAACAACCCTTTCACAGGGGTCACCTAACTCATAACAGCAGCAAAATGACAGTTTTGAAATACCAATGAAAATAATTGGATGGTTGGGGGTCACCACAACATGAGGAACTGTATGAAAGGGTCGCGGCGTTAGGAAAGTTGAGAACCACTGCAGTAGACAAAAGGGACACATCTAAACAAAAGCACTGGAGTGAATGTAAGGTGAACTAATGAGAACCCACTCAGCTAGTGAAAAGCAGTCAACACGATATAATAATCACCAATTGCTTCAAGAATATTAGGACTATCCCAAAAGGCCTGGAGCACAAGTGACAGAGACAGAAATTTCTTTTTTGCTTTTTCTAGGATTTATGTAGACCGTACTCATTGTGATTCCACATATGTGAAGCTTGAATTGTTTCTTTTACAATTTATATAGTACTTACTGTGTGCCCCCACATCATTCTAAGCACTCTGGAAATAACTGGCTCGTTTAATCCTTACCACCTTAACAACCCAGGGGGCTAGAAGGCCATTGCACTGTGTTAATTATATGAACATACTGAGAAAGCACAGAAACCATTGATAGTTATGCAATTGGTATTGACAATTAGCAAAATCACAGTTCGTCTGCCTCTTCAATACAGCTGTCCAATATTAAGTTTGTCAAGTGCAATGGTCCCCATCTGTTCAAAATGGTAATGGTATAAAATTTTTGTTCACAAAAGCTACTAAGAAATCATTTCTTGACCATATTCATTATTGTCCCCAACTCTGAGGAATCAACCTGGTAGAACACCTAACGTTCAGGAACTTGATAAATTAGAAGAAACTCAAGGATATGTAAGAAGAAGGCCATTACTTGCATATGTTATTCACATAATTCTTGTCTTTTACTTTTAAGGTCAAGTCTTTGCAGGACCAGGTTGGAGCATTTATGGTTTGAGGAAATGAGTTTAACTGGCTCTCATAATGACCAAAATGTAAGTTCAAGGTAACCATGGCAACTAGTGCAATAAAGGGCTGATTATGACACACGTGTGGGACACATTTCATAAGTGAGAGGCCTGGGGCAGATAACAGCAGACTGAAACATATAGAGGCAGAACTAGTAGGTGCTGAGGTACAGATCTAAGCCAACCGTTGATTCACCTGGCTATGGAAGAGTGAGAGCCAATCAAGAAACACAGCTAGGTCAGTATGATAATGTGGGGTTTGTTAAAAAGGGGAAGAAGTTAAGTACAGTTTCCTTAGATATTATTAGCGTACTGATTTCTGATTGTGTAGCACTTTCTCCTTTTGATATGCCAACCTGTGTGTGTATTATGAAAGGAACCCTATTGGGCAGTGGTTACAGCGGTAAGAAATTAACCCAAAGGTCAGTAGTTTGAACCCGCTAGCCTCAGTTTGGGGAAAAGAAGCGGCAATCTACTTCCATAGAGATTTATGGCCTTGGAAAAACCCTGTCGGGTCATCGGAATCACAGTGTGTTATGTATGGCGAACCCAGCCTATCTATCTGTAGGTTTTGGTTTCCGACATGTAGAGAACTAAAATTGCTGCCATCCCATGGACTCTGACTCAGAGAAGCTGAAAGACTCATCTTTCTCCCACCAAATGGCTGGCAGTTTCGAATTGCTGACCTTGCAGTTCACAGCTCAACAAGTAACCTACTATGCCACCAAGTAGCTACCTGCACCTTTAAGAAACTTCTTCCGCTTCGGTAATGTTGTTATTGTTAGGTGCCGTAGAGTTGGTTTCGTTCTATAGCGACCTTATACACAAGAGAACAAAACACTGTCCGGTCTGGCACCATCTTTAGAATTGTTTGTAAACTTGAGCCCATTGTTGCAGCTATTGTGTCAATCCATCTCATTGATAGCCTTTCTCTTTTTCTCTACCCCTCTACGTTCCCAAACATGATGTCCTTCTCCAGAGACGATTCTCTCTGAAAGTATGTCCAAAGTATGTAAGACAAACTCATGTCCGTCCTTCTAAGGAGCACTTGGACTGTTCTTCATCCAAGACATTTGTTTGTTCTCTTGGCAATCCATGGTACTTTTAATAGTTTTCTCCAGCCCCATGATTCACGTGTATCAATTCTTTGGTAATAGCTGGAATCAAATAGCTATCTTGTGTATTTAGCTCTGGTGGTATAGTGGTTATGCGCTGGGCTGCTAACCTTGAGGTCAGCAGTTCAAACCCACCAGCCATTCTGTAGGCGAAAGATGAGGCTTTCTATTCCCATACAAAGTTAGTCTCGGAAACCCACAGGAGCAGTTCTACCCTGCTCTAGGGTTGCTATGCGTCAGCATCTACTTGATGGCAGTTAGTGTGGAGGATTAAAAAAAAAAAAGTCTTAGGATCTCTATGAGTCAGAATCAACTCAATGGCAGTGAGTGTCGCAATGAGTGTCTTAAGATCTCTGGTGGCAAAGTAAGTTAATAATTGGGTTATTACCCGCAAGGTCAGCGGTTCAAATCCAACAATCCCTCCTCAGGAGAAAGATGAGGTAGTCTGCTCATCATTTATAACCTAGGAAACGCAATGGAACAGTTTTACTCTGCCTATCTGGTCGCTTGGCATCAGAGTTGACTCGATGACAGTGGACTTTTTAGTGAATTGTCTTACTATTGATAGATTAAAAAAAAATTATATATCTGTAATCTTGTTATTTGTCAAGAATCTTAAACGCTTTGAAAAGTAAAATAAGCGGTAGAATGAATAATGACAATAGGCAGAAGGGCCGGGGCTACGACACCGCTTACTCTTTCCACCCCCCCCCCCCCCCCCCCCCTGTTTTTTTTAAACTGTTGGTTAACGCAGCCATTACAGAGTTAACAAAGTAGCAGACGAACTTCTTAGGAACAACCACGGATAGTTGGCGCTATGGATCCGGGAGGAGGAGATCTCGATGGGGGTGGGGTGGGGTGGGGTCGGGTAGGGGGAGACACCTCTTTGACTTTGCCTGTGCCTCCGCAAAAGATGCCAACGGGGTCTTTAATGACGTTAATTGCCTGCGTAATCAACGTGCGTCTTTGGGCCGGACACAGGGCGCACGCTCAGAGGGGCGGGTTCTAATTTATTTTCAAAGGCGGTAGCTTTCTGTTTGGGCTGGAAAGGTTCGCCTGGGGTTGCGATAAAACAGGTTAGCTGCAGTGACCGCGAAAGTGGAGTCCCCCGATTTGAATTATAGACGTGGAGGTAGGGGGCCCAGAGTCTGGGGAGTAGGAAGTGGGGAGCCAGTCCTGCTGGTTTGAGGGAGGCTGGGCTGCAAAGATGCGGGCTGCCAGGCGTCTGAAAGCTGCCTTCTCTTCTCGCCCCCCACCTTCCTCTCCCTATATCCTCTCCCCACACCTTACCCAGCCAGCTTCCTCATATGTGAAGGGGAAATTGAAAACAGCAATTCGAATTAAGAAGTGGTTTCTTCCTCGACGTCAACATGGCACAGGAGAAAATGGACCCGAGGCTGCTGTCAAGTTCGACCATCGCAGACAGCAACATCCGGAGATCTAGCAGGGTGCCTTGGATCAATGGGTTTAGGTGAGCAGGGTTGTAATCCTGAGGGAGGCAAGGGAAGAGGAGGGCAAGGGCTGAGAGGCGTTGGAGAAAGTGCTTTGCAATGGAATACCCACCCCAGCTCATAGCTTGAGAGACAGGGCACACCCACCCTGGAGTTGGCAGGAGTCTGAACTTGAGCTTCCTCTTCTGACTGCCACCGGAACCAGAAAACAACCCCATCTCTTACCCACACTCTTTTGAAGTAGCCGATGTGCCCCTGTCCCTTGATCTTCTGTGGTGACTCTAATTTTCTTCTTTCTGTCAGCTGCCTAGTCACCCCTGACCCTCACCTCCAGCACTGAATGATGATTAGTGTGTATATATAATCCTTGTGATTTGAAAGAAAGTTCAAGTACCACAATTGGGCGCTGAAAAGAAAACAAATACTCTATGTATATAAATCATTAGCAAAACAAAAGCCAGTGCCATAAAGTTGATTCCGACTCACACTGCCATGGAGTCCCTTCTGACTCCTTAGTGACCCTATAGGACAGAGTAGAACTGCCTCTGAGTTTCTGGGATCCGAACCCCTTAAGGGAGTAGAAAGCCTCGTCTCCTGTGCCAGCCAACATGCAACCCGCTGCGCCATCAGCACCCCTACTCCAACTCAGCCGACCCACTGCCAGCAAGTCGACCCTGCCCCTGTGAGTTTCTAAGACTGTAATCCTTTACCAACATAGAAAAGAGTCCTATTTCCCTCGGAGTGGCTGCTGGTTTCAAACGACGGACCTTGCGGATCGCAGCCCCAAGCATAACCGTGATGACACCAGGCAGCCCCATAAAAATCTGGTACATCTTTGGGGACCAGGCACCCTCATCTTTCTCCCATGAAGCACCTGGTTGGTTTCAGCTGCCAAACTTCTCAGTTTGGACCTTGCAGCGCAACGCTTGTCTGACTTCTCCGCCAGGGCGGCATACACATAAAGAGATATACAGTATAGCTGTGGTATTAACATTTCTTTTAAAAAAATCATTTTATTGGGGGCTTTTACAGCGCTTATAACATTCCAGACATCAATTGTATCCAGCATATTTGTACATGTGTTGGCGTCGTCATTTTCTTAGCATTTCCTTTCTGTTTGAGCCCTTGGCGGTATTAACATTTCATGAAAAGTAGGTGAGTAGGAAAAAAGAGAATGTAAAAGGGTTCCTTAGAGAGCCAATAGTGACAATACGATTCAGAAATACTGCCCTAAATGGTGATTAGTTGTATTTAGTGCGTATATCCAAAGTTCTTGTGTCACTAAAGCTTATTTTTTAAAGTCATGTTGTAAAGTGAGGTCTCAGATCGCACCTGCCAGCACGATACATTTTTCTGGATCGTGTAAAAATGTCTGAACACTGTCTGTTCACTGAATATGCTCCTCCATATTTGCTGCCCTCATGCGAATGGACCATTTAGTTCACAACCTCACAGACGACTAGCAGGGAACTCAGCGACCAGATATACCCTCCAGTGTATTTAACAAACGAGAAACGGAGGCTTATACATTTCCAATATGACATAGGAGGCAATTTTTAAAGGGCTTGCCACAGGTCAGGTGTACCTTCGTCCTCCAAGTCATGTCTTTGCTCTCTAACGCGTTTGAAAGAGGTCTCGTGCAGCAGATCTGCTTGATGCCACAGGTCCTTTGCTCTCTTGATTGGCTGTTTCCGTGAACATTGCTGGTGGACCTAAGCAAGATGAAATCCCTTTCTCCATTTATCATGATGTTGTATATTGGTCCAATTGTGAGGATTTGGGCCTTTTTTTTAACCATAGTGGACCAACTCTAGGGATTTTCACCCATCAAAAAGAAGTACTCTAGGAAATGATGTGTGATGTTCCTGGAGAACATACAAAGGACATCAAAAGAGCATGGGGATATTCCACTATATTTTCATTTCATTTGCCCACAAACTTGTTAAATCCCCTCATATTTTGTGCTATTGTTACACGGCTTGGGGCCAGGCTAGGATATACCACCGAGTCTTTGTTGAATTTCTTTCTTTTCAGTTGTATACAAGTGGGTACTCCCCCCAAATCAAACAGCAATGTGCTCATTTGCTTGTTTTTATGTGAGAGGGATAGTGCATTTGGTTACTTCCACCAGGTCAGACAGTTAATCAAGCTTTCTATTTAGAGGTTCTGGAAAGATTGCATAACAATGTTCAGGGCAAAAGGCCTAGATTTGTGACAGACACAGGACTGGTTTTGACACCACGACAATGCACCTGCTCATGCAGCTATCTCAGTGCACCAGTTTTGGACAAAAAAGCAGCATGCCTCTCTTGCCCCACGAACCTGACTCACCTGACCTCGCTCTGTGTAACTTCTTTTTGTTTCTGCGACTGACAGTGATTTGACGACTTAGAAGCAGTGAAGAAAAAAAATGAGGGTGGTACTGTCAGCCATCCAAACATGAGTTTGAAAAATATTTTCAAGAATGGAATTTGCAGATTTGACAAATGTCTTAAGTGTAATGGAGGGTACTTTGAAGGTGATAACAGTTGTTTTGTAAACAAAATTAAATACAGTGCTTTGGGGAGGGGTTAGCCCCTCGTATGTCCCACGTTCACTGTACCTTGTGTGACCTTTTGATACTTGCTGCCCTACCTCTTTTGAAAGTGTACCTGGAAGTATAGCATTCTGTTCACAGTTTGCTAGGTATTTTTGCACCTCTTGATTAATTTCTCAATTCTGCTAACTGCTTTCTATATATAAAAAAACCTCTCTTTCACATCAGCTTTTCACAGCTTTTCCCCCTCTTAAATGTCAACTCTTTAATATAACATTGCTGTTTTTAGGAAGCTCCTGTACCGTTTTACCTACATCTCATATTAACAAAAATAAATTGCAGTGTCAAAAATTTTGAACCTCTTGAACCTGTGTAATCATTCTCTTCCCCACTAGCTGGTTTTCTATATGTCAGTAACAAAGTATATTTAAAGGTAATTGTTTTCTTCTCTGTTTTTTATTAAAAGAACTGGAGTTAGAGTTCATGGATTTCTGTCAATGACTCCCTTTACATAGCTCTCACTAACCCTACATTTAAACAGTCATGTCTCAATTTTTTGAAAGGCAAACAACTACAATTTGATGAGCAAATCTGGCCTGCTACTTGGTTTTTATAAGTAAAGTTGTTAATAGACATTGACTAAGGAAGACCAAAGAAGAGTTGGTGCATTTGAATTATGGTGCTGGGGAAGAGTCTTGAAAGTACCATGGATTGCCGCAAGAACAAATGAATATCCCTTGACAAAAGAAATACGGCCATAGTGCTCCTTAGAAGCAAGGATGGCAAGACTTCATCTCCCATACTTTAGACATGTTCTAGGAGAGACCAGTCCCTGGAGAAGGATATCTTGCTTGGTAAAGTAGTGGGGTAGCAAAACAGAGGAAGGCCCTCAGCAAGATGGGTGAACACCGTGGCTGCACCAATGGGCTCAAACATCAGAACAATTGTGAGGACAGCGCAGGACCACACGGTGTTTGGTTCTCTTGCACAGAGTCACCATGAGTTAGAACTGACTCAATAGTACTTAACAATTGGACATCCCCTTGCAGAAGAGCTGTGGGGAGGAGATGAGCCAATCGGAGTGCAGTGTAGCAACGATGAAATACACAATTCCTCTAGTTCTTAAATGCTTCTTTCCCCCCACTATCATGATCCCAATTCTACCTTACATATCCGGCTGGACTGGAGGATGTGCACTGACACAGACAGGAACTGGAAATACAGTAAATCCAGGACAGATGAACCCCTCAGGACCAGTGGAGAGAGTGGCGATAATCGGGAGGGTGGAGGGAAGGTGAGGGAGAAAGGGGGAACAGATGACAAGGTCTACATATGGCCTCCTCCCTGGGGGACGGACAGCGGAGAAGTGGGTGAGGTAGACGTCGGATGGTGTAAGATATGACAAAATAACAATAATTTATAAATTAGCAAGGGTTCAGAGGGAGGGGGAAAATGAGCTGACACCAAGTGCTCAAGTAGAAAGCAGGTGTTGTGAAAATGATGAAGTCAACATATGTACTAATGTGCTGGACACAAATGATGTATGTACGGATTGTGAAGTGTTGTATGACCCCCTAATAAAATGATAAAAAAATAATACAACATAACAATATTGGTTGCTGTTGAGTCAATTTGGACTCATGGTGACTCCATGTATGTCATAGTATGACTGCTCCAATGGATTTTCAATGGCTTTTAAAAAAAGTAGATTGCTAGGCCTTTCTTCTGAGGCACCGCTGGCTGTACTTGAACTGCTAAAGTTAGCAGCAAGCACATTAACCTTTGCATCACCCAGAGACTTCCTACTGGAGCATACCATGACACTTATTGTTGTCTATTGTTAATTTTCCATTACAATGCCTGACGAGTAAATGTGAGTGATTGCATGAACCAAAAAGCCTGAAATACTCACTATTTGGCCTTTTGCAGTCAAAGTTTGTCAACGATTTGGTTTATTGAACTCTTAAAAATCTGGGAGAACAGTAGCCATGAAGAATTATTGATCTAGGAATATAATGACATAGAGCTACTGTAGTTTAAGCAGCTATATTCCCTTCCCTTTTTTTTCCCAAGTTAGAAGCAGGACTTAACTCAGTTCTAGAGAACATCCAGGCTTATATGAATTCATGCTGAATGACTCATACCACTTGACGTGTGTTGTTGTTAGGTACCATCAAGTTGGTTCCAACTCAGAGTGATCTTATGGCACAGCAGAACACAACATTGCCTGGTCCTGCACCATCCCTCCCACCCCCAATAGTTCCTATACCTGAGCCCATTGTTGCAGTCACTGTATCCATCTCGTTGAGGGTCTTCCTCGTTTTCACTGATCCTTGGCTTTAGCTAGCATGTAGTCCTTCTCCAGGGACGGGTCCTTCCTGATCACATGTCCAAAGTACCTGAGACAAAGTCTCCTCATCCTCGCTGTTAAGGAGCATTTCTAGCTGTACTTCTACCAAGACAGATTTGCTCGTTCTTCTTGCAAGTCTGTAATCTGTGCAATCTGCTTAGCCAACATTGTGATGCAGAGGCAGCGATTCTGTGATCTTTACAGATTGCCCAGCTTTCACATACTTATGAGATGATTGAGAATATCATGGCTTGGACCAAGCACACCTTAGTCTTCAAAGCGACATCTTTGCTTTTCAGATGATTTCTTTCAGTTAAGGTCTTCAATAATTAAAATTGGCAGAAAAAAATTTAGAGAATATAATTGCCAACACTGGGAATATCTCCTTCGACTACCAAATTATATATATGAAACACATGACTTGATAGTGTCCTTCTTTGCGCTTGAGTAGTAAACTATCCGAACCCACCTAGCTGTGCCATGGAAGAAAGGCCTGGAGATCTGTTTCCAATAATGGTGACAGCCAAGAAAGCCCCATGGAGCATTTCTACTGTACAACACACTGCACCACCATGAGTCAGAATCAACAAAATAGCACGAGGTTTTGCATTTGGTTTTAATGTTTCTCCTACTTCCTTATGAGTGATTTCTGGAATAGATTCCTGTCCTCCCAAGGAAAAGCAACTGGGTGAAGACAAACACTAGAGCCGCTGCTGTCCAGTTGATTGAGAGTTGCAGTGACTCTCTAGGATAGAGTGGAATGGCCCCCTAGGGTTTCTGAGACTATAAATCATTTGGGGAGCAGATAGCCTCATTTTCCTCCCGTGGAGGGGGTGACATATTTGACCCGCCAACCTTGTGGTTAGCAGCCCCATGCCTAACCCACAATGCCATCAGGCCTCCTGAAGGAAAGTACTAGGAAAGGTCCAAGAAGAGGGAGGAATTCCAACATGATTGATGGGGGATAAGGAAAAGGCTTATGGAAAAGGCAGCATTTGGAATGGGCCTTAAATGAGTAGATGCAGAAGCTAGATGACAGTGACAGAATGAGCTCGTATGTGAAGGCAAAAAAGCGTGGGTGTGTTTCAGAGAGCTGAGTGGCAGAGTGCCTAGCCCAAGGTTTCTGCCCAGTGCTGGCCTCCAGTGTGGCTTTCCCCAAGCCATGGCTTTGGAAAATGTTAAGAACGGCCAACCAGTCTTACTCGGGTAATGATAGAAGGCCTGGGATAGAATGGGAGAAAAATATAGACCCAAACTCAATTTCACGAATAAGATCAGACTTACTGGTCTGACAGAGCCCGGAGGAACCTCTGAGACTGACTCTGACGCACTTCAGGGATTGCCACCCATGTCAGGGTTCAAGGTAGGTCTGAATGAACGGACAGACAACTCATTTCCTGTGTAAACTTTCACCTGATGAAGCACACCAAAGGTTCAAGAAAAGAGTTATGTGCTGCACACTTAAATATATTGCTATGTAGTTGTCTAGTGGTGGTGAGGTTACACGAGCCACATGGTCGGCATTGCGAAAGCGCCGGCAGCTCCTTGGGAGAAAGACTGGACTTTCTACTCCTGCCGAAAGTCACAGTCTCAAGTGTGGGGCTCGCTTTGAGTCAGCACTGACTTGATGGCAGTGAGATTTTGAGTTGCCAGCACTTTTTCCTGAGCAGGACTAGGGTATCATGAGATTCTTAGTCCTCTTTTGCATTTAATACCAAAATGTCATAAATGGAAACATGCTGCTCTATCTCTCTCTCTACCTATGTGACCTTACTTGACAATGGGAAAAAAGATAGCACAACCGTCTGTTTGTCCTCAGTTTTTGTTTCAAAATTGTACTAGGCTGTATAATCCCAAAGGCAAGCCCCATTGTGGAGGGCTTTGTATGCCATAGGCCAGCAGGTAAGTGATTTTGGCCCTCAGCAGGGAGAGTCACTGAGAGTGAGAGCAAGCTGTTCTTCAGGAAGGTGACCTAGGAAAGCATCAAGACGAGAAGACCATGTAGACGGTTGTAGAATTTATAAAAAAATTTACTAAAAAAATTTTGAAATCATTTTTGACATGGAGTCTGGAAAGACAAACGTGGTTGTAAGGGAGATTAACAGTTGAATTAGGATGTCAACAAAGAATATATTATACTCAATAATATACCATAAGTTGACAACAGAACCAACAAATCTGTCTTGGAAGAAGTACAGCCACAATGCTCCTTGGAAGCAAGGATGACCAGACTTCATCACCCATACTTTGGAAATGTCGTCAGCAGGGGCCAGTCCCTGGAGAAGGACATCATGCTTGGGAAAGTAGTAGTTCACCAAAAAGGAGGAAGACTCCACCCCCAACCCCCCTTAAACGAGATAGATTGACACAATAGGTATGACAATGAACTTAAACATGGCAATGATTGTGAGGAAGGGACAGGACCAGGTAGTATTTTGCTCAGTTGTCCATGGATTTGCTATGAATCAGAACCATCTGGAGGGCACTTAACAATCACCACAACCTCCAATGTAGAGGTAAAACGGTCCAGGTTGGTACAAATGGTTTGCACTTGAATATTAACCCAAAGGGCCTGGCCCCTGATTACATAGAGAGGCCCAGAAAGGAAAGGAGGTGAAGATGGTTTCTCGCCTTCACTGGGGGAAAGCAAGGCTAAGGGTATGTGAGAACTCGGTGGTTATTTGAAACTTCTGTGTCTTAGGAGCCCTGGTGGCATCGCGGGTTACACATTGGGCTGCTAGCCACAAGGTCAGCAGTTTGAAACCACCAGCTGCTCTGAAGGAGAACGATGAGGCTTTCTCCTCCTGTAAAGATTACAGTCTCAGAAACCCACAGGGGCAATTTCACTCTACCCTATAGGGTCACTAGTTGGAATTGGCTTGATGACAGCGAGTCTGTTATGGTTTGTTATGGTGCCAGGGCCGTTTTCCCATAGAAAGCTGGACTGGGCTTTTTTTACGCACCATCTCCTAGTGTCTTCAATGTGGTTCCAAAATTGCCGTAGACCCCCATGGAGGCCAAAGACAGCCCTGTGTGAGCCTCATATCTGTTGACCTTTGCTGGCCCTCATGTTGACTCAGACTCTCATGTGGAAATGTAGGAGTTGCAAGGGAATTGACGCACATTGGAACCCTTGAACATCAGTTTCAGTAGGAAGGAGTTTCCATGGAAATGATGTCTTTCTAAGGTCACAATGAATTATACTGATTCTCATGCAGTAGCTTGATTAGAGGTAAAGTGCCATACTTGAGAATAACTTACATAAAAAGATGTTTTGGTTCAGCCAACTAAGGCACTAAGGCTTTGTCTCACTCTCTGGCTCTCTCTCTCTCTCTCTCTTTCTCTCTCTCTCTCTCTGTTTGTATTTCTACATCTGCACCGCTGTCTCCACAAAGAAGCCAATGACATTAATGACATTACTGTTTAAGTAGAAGTTTTCTGTCTTTTTGTTTAAAAAAATATCTGTAGAGGATTTTATATGACAAATCTTCCCGTTTTCTTGTGTTTGTTCCATAGTGATCACTCCCAGGTGTTCCCAGCTGGCGTCTTAAGAACTAAACAGAAAGTGACACAGTCTTTCAGCCACCACTGTCTGGTAAGAAAAGACTTACAGTGGCCTCACTGTCCAAGGCCTGGGCTGTCGGTTTGAACCAGCAGTTCTCAAACTTGAGCAGGCATCAGAATTCATGTGGAGGACTTGTTTTGTGTTGTTTTCTTTTTAATCATATGATTTTTTATCGTGAATTACGTATGTATGGGTGTTATAGTTCAGACTATCAATTCTTCATTCAATAATTCAAATCACTCAACACCGTCCCACCACAACCCCCCCACCCCCCACCCAACTCCAGTCATCACACCCCATCCCCACTTCTCTTCTCCATCTTATGGAACTCCTCCTCTGTTATCCAAGTCGACACGTGTCAATGCTCTGGTTCATGGCTCCATCTTCCCTCCCCTGTCCTTCCCCCTTCCCCCTGGCCAACCTCCAAAGTCTGTTCCCTTTGGTAGGAATGTCATTGTCTTCTTCCCCCCCTCCCCCGACCTCTTACAATAATGGTCTCATGTGATCAACCTGGATGCCTTGTTCAAACACAGACAATCTGACCTCCCCAGCCAGAGATTTGGATTCAGTAGGTCTGGGGTAGCACCTGGGAATTGGTATTTATAATAGGTCCTCTAGACACAAGTGAGGGAAAAAGAACTACAGTAACGGCAAGTAGAACTACAACGCTCCTCGATCCCACTTGGCTTTGACCCTCAGGTGGGATTTGATGTGTCAGAGCTCTTGGCTTCAGAAATTTTTTTTAAAAGAACATTCTAGAAAGACTCATCTTTCTTTCATGGAGGGGTTAGTGGTTTTGAACTGCTGACCCTGGGTTAGCAGCTCAATTTGTCGCCACTATACCACCAGGGCACCTGCTTGAGTCTTAGTGTTATAAATACTTTTAAAATATCTGCCCTTTCATTTTGTCATTACCCCTCCTGGAAGCCAACCTTGGAGATCCATTCACTGCTGTTTGTATTACATTTTCACAAGCTGAAAGTCAGGAAACCTAGCAAGTTACAAGTTACCATAGGACACACTGGAGAACCCTTACATTTTACTATTATTTATTTCACATTTAACAACAACAAACAAGAGGGAGTCACTCAACAGAGGGTCACCGTCATGAAGAGTGACCATCCTGGAAAGCCTATGGAGGGCTGCTCTGAGTAAAACTGGATGTCATGGCAATGGGATTGGTTTGGGGCTTGTTTGTATGGTTGCTATGAATCCGAACCTTCTTTTTTTTTTTTTTACATGTTTTTCTTTCTTTTTAAAAAAATCAATGTATTGGGGCTTATACAATTCATCACAATACATAGATCAATTGTGTAAAGCACATCTATACATTTGTTGCCCTCATTATTCCTAAAATTTGCTTTCCTCTTGGGTTCCCGGAATCAGCTCATTTTCCTTTTTTCCCCTCCCCCTCCCTTCCTCCTCCCCTCTCCCCCATGCACTCTTGATAGTTTATAAATCATTATTGTATCTTATATTACTCTGCCTGGCGTCTCCCTTCACCCACCCCTCTGCTGCCCGTCCCCCAGAGAGGAGGCCACATGTAGCTCCCTGTGATCAATTCCCCCTTTCTACACCCCCCTTCCCTCCTGGTTTCACCACTGTCACCCCTGGTCCTGAGGGGTTCATCTGTCCTAGATTCCCTGCGTTTCCAATTCCCATCTGTACCGCTGTGCATCATCTGGTCTAACCAGGTCTGCAAGACAGAATTGGGGTCCTGGTATTTGGGGGGAGGAAGCGTTTAAGAACTAGAGGGAGGTTATGGGTTTCATTATTGCTATACTGAACCCTAAGTGACTCATCTCCCCACTACCCCTCTGCAAAGTCCGAACCTTCTTGATGGCAGCTAACAACGAGAACCACAGCATCAGGAGCCTACCCCACCCAACCTCTGCTAACGAGCAGTTCCTAAGGACTACTGCTGAGTAGGACTATCCCTCCCCGCACCCCAAGTTGACCCTTGGCTTGATTTCCCAAGAGCTCTGGAGTTAGCATACCCGTCCCCTTCTCTTTCTGGCCCCGCTGTGTCTGCCACAGCTGTGTTGTTACCCTCCCTCTCCAATGGAAACAGGAGGAAGGTTTCACCTCCCTATCAAATGGTTGTGCTTATCTTCAATCATTGGTCCATTCTAATCTTACACCTGGCGGGGTAGTGGGTTACAAGTTGGGCTGCTGATCGGCAGTTCCATCACACCAGCTACCCCTCCGGAGAAAGAGGAGGCTTTCTGCTGCTGTAAAGATTGGCAGCCTTGGAAACCCCATGAATCTGCATCACCTTGATGGCAGTGGGGTTTTCTGGGGAATTTTAGGGGCGATGCTGAGTGATTCATGGCAACCCTGGGCGTGCAGAGTAGAACAGCTCCATAGGGTTTCCTGGCTGTCATCGTCCACGGCGCCGCTGGTTGGGCGCAAACCACTGGACTTTCAGCTAGGAATGGAGTACTGGACCGTTTTGCCAGCCAGGGACTCCGAATTTTGTGGCTACTGATCATAATTTATCTACCTCGGTTTTGCTTTTCCCATTAGTAGCTAAAACACCTGTCCCACTTTTTGGGCCACCCAGGAGCAAATGTACATAATGCAGTCCTATGCTAGCCCATGGTCAATTAATATTCAATACCACTGTAAGCCACCCTGAACCCCTCCCGGAACTTGGCAGAGGCATTCATAGGCATGGTATACAGCCCTTGGCCTGAATTCTCTCTGTGTCTTGTCACTCGATAGAATAGTAGAAAATGGGTTAACACTAGCAAACCTCGGGAAATTCAAAATCACCTTAAAATGCCTTTATAGTATCACTTTTCTAGGGCCTTTCTTTTAGATGGGACTCCTACTTCACGTTTGTTTGTTTGTTTTACTTCATGTTTTTTATCTTCATCTCTTCACTGACAATAACTCTTGGAGATAACCTTTGCGCAGCGACCCTCCCACTGCCGGTCCTCTTGCTTTCTTCTTAGTTTCCACCCCGTCTCCGAGAGCATACAAGAAAGACACAGAAAACATACACAAAGGCCACCAGGGAGATTTACTTTCATCTCTGGAAACTCTTGGCACTCATAGGTCACTTAAAGTCGACGAGAGGTTTTTGTGAACTAGAACACCACGAGATTTGGACAATTTTGCAAACATGCCTAAATTGTGAGCCATAGCAACCATTGGTCTCCATCTTGATGCTGTTTCATAGCATTTGGTTTCCCTTCCGCATCGATACCTCTCCTTTGCCTCTTGCTGCTGCCATCAGTGGCACATTGGTTTGGCTGCATTTGCGAGCCGTGATGCACTTCACAGTAATGCTGCCTAAAGAAACCTAAACAGAGAGAACAGCACACGACTCGAGATGTGCCACACACAAAGTCAAAGCAGGCACTATTGTATGTAAAACGTTTTATTTCTGTAAGTAGGGAAAGTTCACAATGAAATAATTATAAAAGTATAAACACGGCTATATCACAGGTTATATAGGTACGGTGCCATGATACACTTGTATACAAGACACATGTGCAGGAAGCTGTTGTGTGTGCTACATCCAGTTACATCCATTACACCCCCTTCTTTGATTTAGATTTCTGAACTCCGCTTCTAACTTTATAGGACCATTGAGGTAGATGCAGTCAGACTTTGTCTGAGTGCACATTATGCAATGCATGACTGTATTTCAATCTTAATGTAGAAAAATTATCTAAGGTAATTCCCTGGCGAGTACTGTGTATGGTCCTTAACCATTTGGGAGAATTCCTTTTTCTGCTGTTCTGTTTTTTTCTGCTTTATTTTTCATGATAGTACAAAAAGAATCATCCAAGTTCAATATTCGATCTATAGTTCAGCCAATTTAAAAACATTCCCAGAGTGTTTGGTTCTGTGGCTCCAATGAAAACCCTACCCACTCCTGACATTTCCCACTAGACGCCCAATGATGTCATCCGTTTGAGTCAGGCAAATCTCATGATTTCTTGGAGAAGGTTTTCCAATCGGAAATGTTAAGCCCTGGCCGGAAACTAAAGCGATTCCTTCCCATCCCTTAGGTATCAATTAAAATTAATCTCTTCTAGGAAGTCTTTCATAATTAATTTAGAACAGCATGCCACGCCATGCAATTCTCTTCTCTGCTTTTATTTTATTTCTATCTAGTCATTATAACACAGTTAAAGTGCCATCATTTTTATAGAGAGAGATGTGTTGATTTTATGTGCATATATTTACATTCAATTTTACCAGCTATTTTCAATTAGCTGGTAAAACTTACATTTTACATTTTGTGTCCTGTGACCTTTCCGGGCATTTGAATAATGAAGATTTGAACAGCAGTAGCAAGATCCAAACATATTAAGTCTACATATTCCAGGAAGAAGTGTGTGTGTGTGTGCACATGTGTGTGTGTGTGTGTATGTATGTGTATGTGTGTGTGTGTGTGTATTTAGGGTTCCTTGCCCCTTTGTTGTATGCACAACTACTTCTCAGTGAATTAATAAAGGGGAGCAATGTGAAAGAATAGCCCAAACTGTATAAATAACAGTATACTCTACTTTCTTTTTAAAAAAATCATTTTATTAGGGGCTCATACAACTCTTATCACAATCCATACACACATCAATTGTGTAAAGCGCATTTGTACATTCATTGCCCTCATCATTCTCAAAACATTTCCTTTCCACTTAAGCCCCTGGCATCAGGTCCTCATTTTTCCCCTCCCTCCCCGCTCCCACCTCCCTCATGAGCCCTTGATAATTTATAAATTATTATTTTGTCATATCTTGCCCTGTCCGACGTCTCCCTTCACCCACTTTTCGGTTGTCCGTCCCCCAGGGAGGAGGTCACATATAGTTCCTTGTAATCGGTTCCCTCTTTCCAACCCATTCTCCCTCTACCCTCCCAGTATCGCCACTCACACCACTGGTCCTGTAGGGCTCATCCGCCCTGGATTCCCTGTGTTTCCAGTTCCTATCTGTACCAGTGTACATCCTGTGGTCTAGCCAGACTTGCAAGGTAGAATTCGAGTCATGATAGTGGGGGCGGGGAGGAAACACTTAGGA